AGTGTTCCTCGAACGTCCCAGTAGATCTACCAGGTTAAGGCTATCAAGAAGGTTTTGGAGGGGATGGTTGAGGGATGAGTGATAATTGGAATTTGAAGGGGAGGGGGGGTTTCCCTTTTTCGATCTTTATTCCTTTTCGTCAATTTGTTAATATCCTCCCGAGTAGGATCTGCGTAGGTGGGGGGGTTGGTCAGTCTGTGAGTGACTAAAGTGGGTTGTTGTACAGTACAGCATCGGTAGTCTACCTCGTAGATAGCTATCAGAAAGCTCTTGGAAAACTCCCATCCATCCATTCTCAGACCACCACATATATATTCCCAGATCACATCCACAAGTGCAACTCAGAAAGCTCTCAACAGTAGAAATAAAAATAAAACACCTCTCCCCATAACCCTCCTTGCCCAGACCCCTCCCCCCCCCCGAGTTAGCTCAGGGAGAACCAAGCCAATCCAATCACACGGACTTCTTCCAAGTGCAAAAGCTATAAATATGATACCACCATAAAATAAAAGTCTTGACAGCTCCCACCACCACCACCACAAAAAAAATTCAAACCTCGAGCTTCAAATCTCAAGCCACCCCGCAGCACACTTCATTCCTTCCTTCCAGAAACCCATGAAGTCTCCAATATATGGACGTGTCCACAGAGTGCAGTTCTCAGAAGCAAGCCCGTCAGCTAAAGTGTACATTTATTTACATGCTAAGTGTGTGCGTGCTCTCGTCGAGCTTCTGAGCTCCCGGGGGAGGGGGGGAGGGAGATGCGGTGACCCAGTACTCCCAGAGGAGGGGGAGGGGGAGGGGGATGATACGATGCTAGGAGATAAAGTGCAGCTGAGGGAGCTGAGCCAGGATGAGTTGGGATTGTGTTGTGTTCCATGGCGCGGTATGTTTGATACAAGTATGTAGAAACATGGTCAACGTACTGTATGTAGTGCAGTGTATATACCGGGTCCGGAAAGGTACTGTATTGATAGGTAGATGGGTATCGCGCTGCAGTGACATGATAAAGTTACAAGTATTGTGAAACGCAAAGTACTGCAGAAGGTCACTGGCTCGGGGAAATACAGTACTGTAATCAAAGCACCATCTCTATAAAACAAAAACACAAAAAAAAACAGAAAAAACGGACGCCAGAGACCCCCGACCGTTAGTCCAAAACTCCCAACTCAGCTGGCACTTTTTATCCTTCCCTCCCGTTTCATAATACGGTAAAATGTTTCCCGACAACCCGCATGAAACACTATACCATGAGCATACCGGTACGGCAACAGCGTACTGCACAGTACCGGCCGGTACAGGTACACCACGGCTACAAGCAGGCCACCTGCCACCACCAACGAGCGTGATAAAATCTACCGTGTCAAACAAAGTGCTAGTACCGTACTAGTACGAGTACATGTACCCGACAACGTAATACCTGTATCATATATCCATGTGCCTTCGCTAACCTCCAAACTCGTGGTGTGCCGCAATATGGCGTTGCATCCGTCATGCATTGATCCCCTATGCCCTGCAAACACGGGCTGGGCCCGCGGGGATGGCGTTAGCGAAGCTTACCTCCGAGACTATCGCCATCGGTAAATTTAGCACTGTACTCGTACTTGTATTGTAGCTTCGGCCCGATCCCCTCACTCGCTCATGCCCGCACGGACACCGCCGCTCGCTGGCGCAATCATGCTCGCCTCGCCGGAAATCAGCTCGAGTAGCCGCCGGGAATGAAACGGATCTACCGTGCCTGCTGTAATGCGCCGCTGTCGTCAACAGGGATCTATGCAACGGGGATCTATGCAACGGGGATACTAGCACTCGAGTATCATACGGGAATTGTTAGGAGTGAAGAGTCCGAAAAAAGGCCGGGTGGTAAAAGAGAAGTTGTAAACCCGGAAGTATCTGTGGAGCCCGAGAAAGCCGGGTGTCGCCACCGATAATATCCTTCTCCTGCCTTAGAGCCTTGTCTATTACCGTACTCGTACATATGGGAAGAAGGGAATTACCAGTATCGTGTTGCTCGATTTGGACAATTTGCAATTCATTGTACGCGTGCTGTACCATAGATACATGAGAGGAGAGGAATCAATCGTCATTACGAGATGGTGCCAAGAATCATGATTTGCTCGTCGAGTCCTAGTTCTGACTTTTTTGCAAACTCGAACGTCCCAATCTTGCTCGATTATTTAGCGGTAGGCCAGCTGATCACTTCCTCACGACAACAGGGTTTTGGCGAATGTTCGATTTCTACTTCTATTTCCTGGCACAATACGGGCGATGAAGGAGTGAGCAGGAAAAGATATTTGCGGGGCTGTGGTGTTTAGAGAGGGGTATTATATGGTCGGCCCCTACCAGGATAGCACTCGAGTATTGGGTGTATTCGTGCGTAGCAAAGGGGAAGAAAGCTTACCGTAACCAACCGCCGGAGGGGAAGCGAGGCGGCGGGTTTGAGTCTGGCTCAACTCAACTTAAGCGCCGGCGCAGGTACGTTTTGGAAACCGTGGCGTCGGGATGGGGTGGATCAGGTACCGGTACCGTTTCTCCTTTTTTTTTTTTTTTAGGTTCCGCTACATGGCTTCTCCCTCTCGGAATGCACGAAACGCTGCCCTAGCACCGAGTACTGTACTCGTACAGTACGGCGCCGGTACTAGTACAGCATTGCATTGCGGTGGTGAACAAGACGGAAGCCAGCCCGTACGGTGCTCCCCGGCCGGTGCGCACTCGTACTCGTACCGTGCCCAAACCAACCACTTTTATGCGGACATCCCAGAATGCCAGATGCCCACCCACGCCCAGCAAGCCATCCCAGGGCAACAAGCGAGCCTGGTGTCACAATACAATAACTGGACTAACCTGTTGCGGGGGGTTGAGTGGTCGATCGGTTGAGGAATTTTGCCGGCAGGGCTGCTAGCGAGGCCAAGACGGAGCTTCTCTTCAACTTCACTGGATAATACCGGTATTCGTGTCGTGCAATTTTGTTATGCTGGCTTAGATTAATATGGATGCTGGGTTTGTTGATGATACTGGTGTACCAGTAAGCCACGGTGGAGGAGACCTCGGCGACTCCATCAGGACGAAGGCCGGGGGGGAAGATGATGCTGAAAGATCAATTATCGTGCTCGGGTACCGGTACCGTGGCATAGCATGGCATGATATGGCACGGTGAATGCAGATTCGAAACGGATGTCAAATTGTGGACATATATACTGGCACTGCACAAGCACTGTGCTATGCTTTGCACCTCTTTTCCCCGGTGCCTGCCAGAGAGAGGGCTCACCAAGCTGTGGGTGATGGTCTACAAGTACTCGAGTACCGTACCAGTACAGTACCGGCAGAGCGCTCGAGTACCACGGATAGAGCACTTTACCTCTCTCTACTCGAGTAAGCGCTTACTGGTACATGGCGTGTTGCCAAGCCATGCAGGGATAAAGCGACGGAAGGAAAGGTCGCCAATCGGCGATTGTCCGTTAGTTGAAGCGAGGGACCAATGGGCGAGCGCGGTGGGCTGGTCGTCGTCAGTCGGTCGGTCAGTTGGCTTGGCGAGTGATAGATTGGATTGGGGGGTAGAAGGGTGGGGAACGAATGAGTGAATGAGGAGGAGACAGTGTGAAAGTGAAGTGAGAATGGAAAGAGAAACTACCCCTTTTTCTTTGTTTCCACGCTATTCGGGTGTGGTGGGAGGATGGGATGGAATCTGGCATCTACTTCAAGTGGATGCAGAGTACGAGTGTGTGTGCTCTCGAGTATCATACCGGTAGGATGCGGTGGGTTCGTCTGAAATCATGGGAGACTTCTCCTGTTGGTTTTCTCCTGCCGGTACTCTTACTGTTGGTCACTGGAGGAGGAATTTGATATGTATGGAGTGTGTAAATATCGGCTTCCACGCGTCTAGCCGATGCCCGCTCGATGAGGTACAGTACTGTACTAGTACTGTGCTCGAGTTGGGTGCATCCTGCTCCTCCTTCTCCGTCACACCCCCCCCCCCAGTATTCAACGCTTCACACCTTCAACTCCCATGCACGACTCGCTCGCAGCTCTTTGCCACCCCCCCCCTCCTATGGCCCGTCATACTTTCTTCCTCGCCCATTCGGACCATTCCCCACAAAATTAGCAGGGCGCCTACACAGCCAGATTTTGCAGCGCGCAAAGATCAATCCCGTCCACTAGAGGACCGATCGTCACAGAAAGCATAGCCCTTTCCAACGCTTCGGAAGAGTGAGAGAAGGGAGAGAAGGGGCAGGAAAGACGCAGGAAGGAACTGTAAACCTCCCATCTTTTTTCTATCCTGTTGGGTCAACAGAAGGCCCTCGCGCCCCTGTCCAAAGTATTTCTTTCATCTGTTATTTTTTTTCTCACCCGTCCTTTCCTTTCCTCGTTCCCTGCTTTCCCTTCTTTTTCCTTTCGCGTCCAACAAGCTCCCGCATATATCACTGTTATTCACCCCCCCTCCCGATCACGGGCTACGTCTTGGAAGGAAGAAAGGAAGAAAAAAATCCAACCGTCCTTTTCCTCCCACTCACTCACTCATTCAGCCCTTCGCTCTTTTTTATTTTATTTTTACCGTTAGTACGTACCGGTACTGTACCCACCGGCCGAACATACCCTCGTTGACCCTCTTCTTGTCTTCCCCCCCGCTCCTTCTCTTTGCCTTTCCCCTTTCCCGCTGTGTTCTTGCTCTCCTTACAACTGAACCTTCACATCTTCCCTGCGCGCCACTGCAGATATCACATTTATCACTCTCTTTTGCCCTCCAACCCTCCCGCCCTCCCCCCTAGCCCCCTAAAGAGGCAGGCAGAATATTATAATTCCAATACTTAGGACCTAAATCGGTCTCCGTTCTTAAACCTACGATGGCCCAAAGACCTTACTCGACACTTCACTCCCCCGACGACGTGCACAGGTTTAATCAAGCGCAGGCCTCACAGTACAGTCTGCACACACCCACAGACGTAGTATCCCCGCATTCGTTCCGTACATCGCCGCCGTCACCGCGGCAGCAGCAGCAGTCGCATCATCCATACACAATGGATGCAACGGGGTACCAATTAGCGGACTATCCATCTCAACCGCAGCAGCAGCAGCAGCAGCAACAGCAATCAGATCCTCGTTTGCAACATCAACAGCAGCAGCAACAACCATACGTGATATCCCCCACAACACCTACGAGTCCGCATTTTAGCTCCCCACCGTCCACTTTCGAAAACAAATACGCGGACCCGCGAACACACGCATCACCACCGACCTCACCAACCTTTGCTCCCCCGCCAACCTCAGAGTCTTCACACCCAGTGCCCACAACCATTGGTGGCTCCCTCCCGGTACCCCCGGAGCCGATACAAGCCCCTACGTACAACCCCTCGCACGACACCCCGCACACACCGAAAACCCCAGTATACACCCCGGGCGGCGGCAGCGGACCGAACGGGGGCGTCCATGCGCCTGGACAAATCGGCCATCCGAACCAGCAGCACGGCCGGGAGGAATACCACCATGGCCTCTGCGACTGCTTCAGTGACTTTTCAACTTGTATGCTCCCCACTCCCCGCTACGTCCGTCCATCTGTCTGTGCGCATACAAGTGGCGAGAGGTAACAAAGATTGACACAGGCTGCGTCGGTTACTGGTGCCCCTGCATCCTCTACTCCCGCACTAACCATCGGTTAAAAACAAGTCCGAATTCAAACCTGAACGACTTTCACAATTGCAACGGGCATTGCATAACCTTTTGCGTGCTTGGTCCGATTTCTTGTAACCCCCCCCTCCCTTCTTTCCTTCCCCCTCTAGTTCGTGCTAATGATCCAAAGCAGGGATCTTTACAACCCTGCAGCGAACGCGCATCCGCGAAAAGTACCGACTGGAGGGCTCGCTAGCCAGCGACTGCGGAAAGGCATATTGCTGCGTCATGTGCACGCTAGTCCAAGACGAGCGGGAAGTGCGCGACCGTGAGGACGAGAGGAGGAGGTTCGCCGGGCCCGGGAGCGGTGTTGTGGGGGATGGGGGGTACAGGAGGCAGGAGACTATGGTTTATGGGAGCAGTTAATTGGTGAGGGGAGGAGGAGGTTGCTTATTCCCTTCTTTTATTTTAAATTTCTTTTTATTTTTTAAATTTTTTCCCAGGGGTTTGCATTTGTAATGGGGTATTTAGTGCTGTATTGTGTTTTTTTAGCGTCTCTTTCTCAGCTCTCTCGATTGGTTTTGGTCTCTCCTTCCTTTTCTTTCTTCCTTTTCTTCTCCCTTTACTACTTGGTCCTTTTCTTCTCAGTCTTTATATACTCCACGAATTGATCGGTGGGTGGGTGGGTACAGTACTACGGTATAAATTGGAATCTAATGTATTTATTCACGCCAAGTTTTGGAAGAGAAGAAGGATGAACGAATGAGATATATTACGATTCACAATTACCACGAGTATTATCCGAAATACCGTACACCCATCATATCGCCCCTCCCCCCCCGAAACCAGCGGGAAAAAAGAAACCCCCCTGCCCTCCCCCAAATCTCATCCACAACATAACCGGTACCCACTTTGCCATGAGAGTAAGTTACGTCAGACACGAGTATGATACCATGAGTATGGGTAGCAACTCGCATATCGCAATCATTTCTGGTCACTCGGGCACGCCGATTGTTCCTTGTGATGATGCTGGGGGGGCGATTGATGGATAGATAGATAGATAGATAGATAGATAGGTAGGTAGGTAGGTAGGTAGGTAGGTAGGTAGGTAGGTAGGTAGGTAGGTAGGCAGAGAGGGAAGGTGGGAGTGGGAGTGGGAGTGGGGCTGTCCAACGTAAGCCGCCATTCCTTGCAAAACTCCGTATGTAGTGCTACGCTGGTGCTGCCGCGGACGGTGGTACGGTACGACGAGTACGATACGAGTATTTGTTGTAGCAAGTGCCGTTTCACGTGATTTGGGTTACGTAATGTATGTGTGTTGCGTAGATAGGGTCGGTACTTGTAATTCATGCGCTGTACGAGTACCGTGGTGGTATGTATGCATACTGACTATCAGAGAATACAGTAATACTCGAGTAGCAGGTCGCTTCCGATCCCAAGAGGGTATATGTAAGCGGGCAGGAATGGGTGCTCGTGCAGAAAGTTAGAATATATATCCACCTTCTTCCTTCCGCCCTTTCTTCCTTCCCCCGGTATCATATCATGCCAGACACTATGATACTTGTACAGTACTTCCCTGCACACATACCCACCTGTTGTGTCCTCGCATTACTACGAACAAACCCCACCCAACGAGGGATCCCGCCGCAGTACGCAACGCACACGGCGCCGACATTCACCCCCCGGATCGGCGGATATAGTGCCGTAGGCGGCTCACTGTCAGGAAGGAAAGGTCCCAGTGAAACGGGCTCTTGAAAATGCAGGCCAATCGCGCAACGGGGTAGCCCCGAATCGGAACTTCGTGCCGGGCTTGTCGGCCGTTTGGACACGGCGTAAACTGGACGGGTAGACCCCGCAGGACTAACGGGGTATACGGCGTGATGAGATGAAGAGATTGGAAGAAGATGAAAAGATGCACGATAACCACGACGGGAAAAAGGAAAAGAAAAAAAGAAAAAAAAACCGGGCGGAAGTGGACGGTGCCAAACCGCCCCACGATCAATACATACAATCTCACCGGTGGCAGAGTGCGTGACCAACCGGCCGGGCGGAATACCCGCAGGGGACACCACAGGAATTGTGCTGCGGGACTTGACAAACATTCTTCGGGAGGGAAGGGAGGGTATATGATAGTACGAGAGGTATGGCTACCGGTACGGCGCAACGGGTTCCGAGAGGCGGTCGGTGTGTGGGGGAAGAGGGAGGATTTCCTTCCCCCCGTGTGAGTAGTCGTGCCGAGCTTTTGATCGAAGCGTCCTATGAGTGGGTACCCAGGTAGGCAGGCGTTTACTGGAGTCTGTTGCGGGATGCTTCTCCCCCCCTTTTTTTCTCCCTTCATAGGGGCGTGCCCTTCTCGTCCGGTGTACTGTACTCGGGTACTGCGCTGTGCAGTGCTGTCAGAGTTGGGTCGCGGGGCGGGGAGGGCTTCGAGGAACTGAGGTCATCCAGTGGAGTTATGGTCTGCGGTGGATTGAGAAGTGCGAGAGGATGAGGGCTATTCAGGGACCGAGCCAAATATATACTGCACTTGATTCGCACCTTGCATTCCAGGGGTAAAAAAAAAAAAACTGCATATCATACCACCATGAACATCCTGCCCTTTCTCGTATACTAGACCTGCATAGTATGCCGCCTGCTCCCTTCCCTTCGCCCACCTCTCGCATGGATGTAAAAAGTAAAGTTTGAGGCATCCCTCATTGTATCCTGTAGGCACCCGTGAAGCCCAAGTCATAGGATATCACTCGAATATATCAACTGTGGGACCCGATTCTTCAAGACTTCAAACATTTACACGTACAACCCGATAGCGAGAATAGGGAAGAAAAGAAGCGATCCACCCATCCACCAACCCTCGCTCCCCCCCCGTATGCCATCTTTCTACGCCATCCCACCCAGCAGATACCTTATCCTGATGTCTCCTACCCACCGATGAAATCCACACAGAAGGAAAAAAAAGGCTAATAATATTCATCGTACTTGTCACCAGCACAAAGCACACAGCGCATGCGAAATGACAAGGGAAGTGCCCATAGGTAATCGCAGAACGACCTCAATCTTAAAGTAAGTATCAAGTGAATAAAATAGAATAAAGTAGAATCGAATAAAAATACTTTGAGAAAAAAGAAGAAAAAAGTCCCCAAACCCACACTCATTTCCCCCTGAACACTCTTTAGACTTCTCATTCAATTGGACTCGGTAGGGTCGTGAATGATAAAAGGGGAAAAAAGAAAGAAGAAAAGAATACAAAATAGAGCAAAGCAAAATCCAACCAATCCCGAGAAATAAGAACAAATGGAGAATAAGTAAAAAGCGAAAATAAGAATTCGGTACATAGACAACGAAAAAGAATATATAAAGAGGAGCAAATTGCAGTGCCCAGTTAGAAGAGGAAGTGGAAGAATGACAAGAGCATAAGAAATGGAACGAGAGTGAGAAAAATATGAAATGGACTGGTAGGAAAGTGGGTTTAACGGCTCCTGTGCATACCCGTGCTTTCCCGTCCTGTCTGGGTGAAGTTCTGGGCACACTCCACATATTTTTATTGTTTGCTTTCTTTACTTTATGGCTGTGGGATGAGGAAGAGAGTTTATAATACTCCACCAGGTAATGTGATGCCACCTTCTCGGCCGCCATATACACTCGCTCCGCTGCCGCCTATGCCTCCACCGGATGGCCCCCCGCCGTTAGAACTACCACCGCCAGAATCAAAGTTGCCGTTTCGTCTTAGCATAAACATGGGCTTCCTTCCTTCTCTATCCAGCTGCTTGAATAATATGAGTGGTTTCTCCTCAAGACCCAGACATCTTTCCTGATCACCGTGAACAATATAAAGTGCATACTGTCTCCAGTTGGCTTGGATGTTGTACCGTTTGAGAGCTGCGGGTAAAACCTTGTAACAGGGATCTTCCATGGATACTCGAAACGACTTAAAAATTTCGACTGACGATGAGGAATTGCTTGGTGTTGATAGCGGGTTGGGTTCTTCATAGTCAGATCGGGGTGGGCGAGTTCGGGGTGGCTGACCATCGGCGGGTCTGTGGGTAGCTGCAGGCGCATTCATGCCACCTAGGTTGGAGTTATTTAGAGGGTTACCTACACCAGTCCCGGGTACATGATATATTGTTGATGGTGACGTCGGTGAGGGGATGTTGCCGGGTGACTGAGAATTCTGCAGGTTTGCTATCGTAGCATTCCCATTCGTCGCGGTCGGCGGTGGCTCGTAATCGGTTCGTACATTCTCAGGATGTGTAGAATGCGTGGGTGATGGGTTCTTGGGTGTTCCAAGGATGAGTTTCTTCATCGAAAATTTTCTTGACAAACCCCTCCCCACCGATGGCGTGGGCTGTAGGCTTGAAGACGCATTGCTATTAAAGGGAGGGTCCTGTACCTGATCCCTTTCCCGATCTCTCTCTTCTCTATCCCTATCTCGATCCCGTTTATCGCGTTCCCGTCTATCTGTATCCCGTTCCCGGGGCTGAAGAGGTTCAGGCGTATATCCAATAGGCGTATTCAATCCTTGTGGTGTGGGTAATGCCTGATTCTTGTCTTTGAGCAACCGCCATACTGGAAGAAGCTCCTCCCTCAGCTTTGTAATCCCCTTTTGCAATTCCCTCAACTCGCCCTCAGTTTGCGAAATTCTCTCATCCCTCTGCCGTATTATCCCAATCAATCGTTGGATGTCATGCTGTGTAGCAGACTTTTCGGTATCTTCGACGTCGGCGGCTGCACACACACAAAACAAAAACAAAAGTAGTCCACCAATCAGCGCCACACACAAAGGGGGGGGTTTTAAAAAAAAATATCGAGCAAAAAATAAGCCCGGATCGAAAGCAAAGGAGCAACTTACAAACTGGCACATAATCACCAGTGTCGATGGATACACCATGGGCAATCTTGATATTGTAGACATTTTTTAAGATGGTAAGCCTATGTCCAACACTTTGCACGCCAACATCCCGTAACTCTTCGTGATCGAGATGGACTAGGACCTGGCCGTCAATTTCGTTATCTGCATTGACTGTCAGTTGCTGCTCATGCCTGCAACCCAGTATCCTAATTCCTGCGACTCATTGTAACTCATCACAGAGGGCCCGGGAAGGGATGAAGGGATGAAAGGGTTTACCGAGAAACGAATCGCCGTACTGATCCAATACTAGCGAGCGTATGAAGCCAGCAACATCTTCTGCGTCCCATTCTAGGATATGGCGATCACTCATATCCCTATTGTCCATTTCGTGGTAGTGAGGCTGATGGAACGTGGGGGTATGTTGATCTCCATCCCTGGATGGAATGTCGGAGTCAGTGGGAGAGGATGGTTGTTGATGATGACCCGGAGACGGCATCTCTAATCCTGCTACCGATGGGAACTGAGAGGGAGCTGTCGTTGACTGCGAACAGCGGTAAGGGGAATCGAAGCTAGGCGGAGGAGGGGCTGCCGAAGCAGGAAATTGAGGCTTGGAGGCACCAACGTTAGTGGGAGATGCGATGGGAGAATAGCCAACTGCTTCCCAAAGCGTGGATTGGTCCTCGTACGGACGCGAGAGACGGGCTTTCGGCTTTTGTTGATCCACCTTGGGTGTTCGTCTGTTGAGTTAGGAGGAAGTGGTCCGGGCTGTCATTCAAAAGCAGGGTAAGGCCGCGTTGCAGGAGGGAGCAGGGAGGTGGGTAGGATAGCAGGTAAGGGAGAGGCGGTCGCAGATGCGTTCGGTAGGGTTAGCTTGTTGGTAGTCGAAGTAGGGTAGTGTGGTGGTGGGCGAGAGTGGGTAGTGGTAATGGTCTGTGTGGTGGCGGATGGAGGCTTGTAGGGGGGGGGGGGAACTTGGAAAATGTTCGTGCAAAAAATGTGTGGACAACTCTAACAGGCAACAATGCCTAATACTGCACCGGTATTAATGATTCCCGGCTCCTCAACAAGAACGGCATTCGAATGGGGGCAGAAGAAAGATTTGATAACAGATATCATAGAAAGGAATCAGTATGTGTAAACAGATCCGGGAAAACAATAATTTCTCATGACACCCACCCACTGTTAAAGATTTGAAGATTTTCCAGACCCGGGGTCCTTCGACAGGGGCGGCGATCGTGATGGGGGGGGTGGGAAAGGAGCGGCGGAAAAAAAAGGAAGGTGTGGCTCCTGCTCCTCCCTGGCTCCTTAAATGCCGAGAGTGTGGACCATTTCTCTTTTTTGGGACAGTAAGAGATCATTTTTGGACTTATGATGGGTAAAAATTACGCCAAGCCCGAAAGTATTGCTCCAAAGGCCCCAACCAACAATCCTTCGGGGAGAGACATGGTTAAATGGTGTCTCACTGGGATTTAGGAGGAAAAGCATTCTTCCGCGAGAAGGGTAGAAGTAATTATGATATATTGGTAAACTAAAGTTAGGCACTGGCCCGGGACATTTATGCACGCTTCCTCCTCAAGCCAAGGTTATCAATCAGTTAAGGGAAATCATCATAATCATCATAATCACATCCATAAGTCATGAATCAACACCACCGGTATCTGCCAGCTGCTGTCGTCCTGTCAATTCCCAGAGCCACACCTGCGCGCGGGGCTTATCTAACCCCCGCCACTACAATGACGACCCTCTCCATCACCGCAACCATCATCTCGCCCCTCCGGGGTAGGGCTATTATCATATACCATTGAAGCGAATCGTTGAATTTTTGAAAACACACATTGATGTTCACTGCATTCCTCGTGTATTGTACAGTACCAGGAGGATTTAACTGACAATGTTTGACCCGACGATACCCTCCTTACCATGCTCCAATTCCAACTCCAGATAAACTTCCCCACCGTTGACGTGCAACTCACCTCGAAGAGCGCAAAAGAGTTCTCATTCACGCCGGCACCGAGAAAAAAGATGAGCCATTTTTAAACAAAGGCACTTGACCAGGCGGGACCGGATGCTGGCACCAATGACGTTTTCCTAGCATGAACTATCACAAAAAACCAATGAGCTTTGCCCATTCACCTACCCATTCATCCATCCATTCATCCGACGAGTTATCCATCCACATACCGACCTGACCGAAGCAGAATAAAATAATACGGTATCGTTGGTGGTGTTTCTAATTCTACAGAGTAAGAAGTCACATGCTAGCTAGTCTAATATATCTCTTGTCGATCCGATATGTGCGCCAAGGAAGGTTATGAATCAGTATTTACACCACTGGAGAGGGGCATCCCGCATAGAATCAACACACCGAGACACTTGATGTCTGGAGAAAGGGTTGTTGATTTCCATCACTACTTTAGTTGCCCATTTACGAGCAGAAAGTATCCAGAAATCTTGGCACGGTTTGGGACCAGGAAATGTCGATACTTTTTGGAAGTGCAAGTACCGTATGATATCATCCTCTACAACCATCCATGTATTATATGCAGCGCCCTGAGGGGCAGAGCCACGAGCACTCCAATCAGATGTCATAACCAACCCCGCCCAAGCCCAATGTGCCATACGAGTAAAGAATCATGGTGACAGCCAGGTCTGTTACCACAAAAACCTGCACCATTAGTCTAAGTCCGGGCCCGCTCAACCCCACCAAAGATCCCGCACGAATCGCAAAACATCCAGTCACATAACCAAAACGAAACGAAAGACTACGATCAAAGCAAGACAAACCCAAGTATCCCCATCCTACCCAGCGCAGTTATGATATACCCATGCATCTTCCCGGATTGGATCTGTCCCTTCGCAGAGCCTAGGTCAATCATTTGATCGAGAAACGGCGTATGGCCGTGTAATGCAGGTTTCCTTGGCTAACGCACGGGCTAGTGGAAGCCCGTTGTATACGGTAGGCAAGGCCTTTCACCCCCTCCCGAACGTGGGATCGTGATACTTCCCCTGTAGGTATGCGCGGTCGTGCTAGGATTTTGAAGCTTGAGCAGTGGGTTTAAAGTTAGGTGTTTCGAGTGATAAGTGGTGCTTGGATGGAGGGGGGGCAAGGGGAGCGGATGTTTCTGGGAGTCTTGGCTAGGTGGGTGGAGGAGGTAAAGAGCTGGAGGTTTTATTACGGTTGCTCTGTCCTTACTACGATACTATCCACATCAAGTGAGAGGATGGATCTGATAGCCTAGCTTGTGGAAATTGCTCGAACTAGCGAGCTTTGATACTTCCTAACTCCTCCCTTAGTCCATCGCCCACGCTCATACCCGAGCGACCCGGTACTCGTACCAATAGAGGTCGTTTGGTCTCTAGGTAGAGGCCAAGACACACGGAAATTGCGGTTTTTAATGCTAATATATATCTCCATAGAAGATACATACCTTGGGGCCTAGCATTTGGAAAAGAAGATTAAAAGGATTCAGCATGTCTGAAGTACTTGTATGATATATATTTGTTTCGGTTTTTTTCTTTTCTTCTTCTTGAGTTCGTACAGAGAGGTGGGTGTTGAGCTAGGCAATGACTGTTGCAATGTGCCAGTACCCTGGTCTTGGCAGGTACCTTCAAGGGAAAGACCTCACTACAATCTTCACTTGGGGCACCACGAAACCAGACGAGCAACAAGGGTATGATACAGTATTTGGCGGGCATAAAAGTGAATTCCTTAAAGCAGAGTAACAAAAATTTAGTTGTTACTGATCCCTGTTCGTCATTCGCCCTGCTACTGTACGGGTACGGTACTTCGTGCCACCCCCCCCCCGGTGAAGACTCTATCATATTCTGGGTGAATGGATGGAAAAAACCCCACACTTTTTCGGGCGGGTATGATACAATAGTATTGTGTAGCGAATCGCTTTTTGAATCCTTCTTAGACTGTTTCCGCCCATGGTGATTCCTTTGCTTTTGGTTTGTTTTGGCCCCTGTCCGGTCGCCGGGATGGCCTTTATTGGTGGTCACTATTTAGACCTCTTACGGTGCATCCTGGGCATTTTAAGCATGTTTAGGGCTTTGTAGAGCTCAGAGGGAAAGTGGTAAAAGCTTAACTTAGCCCTTGCATGTATCATACCTGCCCGATTAGTATAACTACGGTCTGTGAGCCCACTGCTTTGGTATAACTTTGTAAAGCGGCTGGGATGTTCTTGTGGGGGATCCTAGCCGTTTCTTGTTGAAATATTGGTTTTCAACAGCTACCCGTAGAAGGGCCGCAAATTTTGGGTGCGTGGAGCCAGTGATATGGCGGGGCGATGTCGGGGGCGCCGTAGCTGGAGTGTGTAGAGATTCCGGACACCAAGAGCGCACACGAAGAAATCAAAGACCACTCCAGTAGAAGATGCGGGTGGGCGCTGAAGATCACTATTATGAAGCTTGGAAGATCTCGCGGTACGGTATTCTATTCTAAGGCTTGTCCTCAAACCCTCGAGAGCACTTCTGCTAAGCCGGTAGAGGTTGTTGTAATCTGCTATAGGGTTTGAAGGGATGCATGATTGACACCAGAGATGGAGAATAAAGATATTGGCCGGGTGCTGGAGGTAAGGATATGGTGTGCCAGAGTAATTGCCAAGAGGGAGTAGTTACCCCTTGTTCGCTCACAAGAGCAAATCTTGAACATAACTTAAATCAGGATCCTTGCTTGATTGAGCAAGCACACTTAGCCTTTAACAAGCACACTTAGCCTTTAATTTTCAACCACGCATCTTCGACCGTAGAAGGTGAGTGAGATGTTCCCAATATCCGTGAACGGCCGAATCCAAACCTTAATCACCTTGGAGGAATGTCAGATATAACTTTGTCTAACCAGTTCCCGGAAACAGCTTGCCAGTGACCTCCTCGACCAACCCCTCTGGTTCAAAGCTAGGATGAGATCGGCCTCCGCAATGGTTGTAGGGGAAGCGCATCCTTAATCCAATTGCTACCTACAATAAACTAACCCCTATCCCTGGGTGTTCTAAGCTCACCCAAGGGGCCTTATCATACAACCCTGATGGCGCTGTGGCTTCGATTCACTTTTTTGTCTAGGCAAGGCATCTCCCAGGGCGTTCCGCCTTGCAGGCTGAATGTGAAAACGAAAGTTGCTTGCAGTGGTGTAACGAGTGAGAAACCATGAGATCCGTCCATTTCTCCTAACACGCTTGAGAGATACCGATGTCTGGAAAATCGGTTCATCGAATAGTGCAAAAAACGTGCTGACAACTTGGTTGCAAATACTTAGTATCGGACCCGACAGCTTTCCGAAACAGGGAGGAAATTGGCCAAGCTAATTCCCCCTAATGACGCTTTCAACTCCTTCCGGAAAAGAAAAAGAAAAAAAAGCCCAAGATGGAAATAATACTCCTGCTTTTCCTTCGAAGCTCACGGGGTTGGAATTATCGGTTTATTCGGTTCAATAGCTTTTCGCGGAATTGGGTTATAGATTCGGGAGCATGGCCTTAATTTTGTATGATACATGTCAGGCGAATGTGATGGACAGACCGGGGCTATTTATCCAGGTATCCTCGTTGCTTGTATGTGTTGTGAAAGTTCGCCTGCACACTGGACTTGGATAGTGGATATTTATGCGCAGCAATGCTCCCAGAGCTTCTCAGGCTAATATCTAAGGAGCGTAGCGAGGTTGCCTCACATGGCTTGGTACAGTACTGTACTTCTACAGCGTAGCACGGCCCGATAGACTAGCTGAGTGATAAATCCAACTTCTGACGTTTACGTTGGCTTTAGTTAACTTGCAACAGTGCTACGGTGTATTGCGTCTTGTCTTGTAATTGAACCTCGTATCATACTGGGGCGTCCAACCCCTCCCCCCCCCTTTGGATAGGGGGGCAAAAACATGGCGAAAAACTGACCCCCGCAGCCTCAAGCTCAATTATTCCAGTAAATACAGCATATCCTCAGGTCCTATAATCTCCGGATTGAACAAGAAGCTGATCCGGAGCTGGATATTGTTCATGATGAGCTTGATGGAGAATATGTTGTTGGGGATGTAGATTGAAGGGTAAAAATCCTACTTTAGGTTTTATATGTCTCATGTTGTGTGACTTGCCTTGACTTGGCCATTTAAGTTTTTACGGTAGCTGATTCCCTACTCTATCGTTACCGTCCGTCAGCGCTGACACATCACTGACGGGGCGAGGAATCTCCAATCGTGATGGCAGGTTTATGGATGTGAGTCTGCCAATCCCCCCCCCCCCAAGTGTACCTTAAACATTGGACTTAGGGTACTGTAGGGCGGTTTGGGTGATATAAGAGACCCTGGATTTATTGCTTCTGCGTAATTGCCGGAGGCATTATATTGGAGTGTTGGTTGGTTGGTCGGGCGTGGACGTAGGGAGGCAGCTTAACATTAGGGTCATAATAATACATTATTATGGCATAACTGAAAAATTGCGCGCCGCATACCTTTGTATATGGCGGTGGTGAGAGAGCACGTACATCGATCTAGCAGGTGATAACTATTGACAAGGAGAAAAAGAATAATGTATCATATGATAAATCAAACAGGAAGGTGGCAGGTGGCGAGCACGAGATGATCAATCCAAGTCCGTAATCCCCATAAACTCCTCCCCCTCCTCCCCATCACTATCCCCACCGCCCCAAGCCTGCACTTTCCGCCTCTTACTCCCCTCAACAGCCCCCCTCTTTCTATTCTCCCTCCTCCTCTCATAGCCACTCTTAGTACTGATCCTCCCTTCCTTCCCATCAGCCGCCTTGCTCCTCGCTTCAACCCCCCTTTTCTTCAGCCGTTCCTTATCACTCTTCCCAACCTTCGGCAGCGCATTTACCAACCACTTCCCCTCCCCCTTCCCCCCTTCACCTCCCCCTTGAGCCTTAGCAATAACCCCCGCAATCCCCTTCACAAAGCGCACATCCCCCTCTGTAAAATACGTAATTGCCAGCCCCCCCTGCACCCCACCACTCCTTCCCATGCGTCCAACACGATGAATATAACCCGCAACAGACGTCGGGATATCGTAATTAATGACACACCTAACACCCCGAAAGTCCATCCCGCGGGCAAGTAAGTCCGTTGTGACAAGCACCCAAATCTCCCCTGCTAAAAAGCGACCCATAACCTCCGCACGCGCAACGTCCGAGAGCTCCGCGTGCAGTACCGCGATCCGGCCCGGGGTAGGTAGGTCGTAGAGGATCTCTGCGACGAGCGCTCTCGCCCGTGGGATCGTCTGCACGAATATTAAGGCGGGCGGGTGGAAGGAGGTTGTGAAGAGCTGGCGGAGGGCCAGGAGCTTGCCGGGTTCGGTTGCGGTGTAGGTTAGCTTTTGGGTGATGTTCTGGATTGTGGTATCTTTCAGGCCGACAATCAGGCGGATAGTGGGTGATGAGGAGGGGGGAATGTGTTGCTGGCAGAGGGTCTCGGTGGAAGAAGAGATTGTCGCACTGAAGAGGGAGGTGCGGAGGTGCGGAGATTGTAATTGTGTCCAGATCCCAAGTGTTTGTGCGCGGAAGAGGGGGTCCAGGAGAATGTCGGCTTCGTCCAAGATTAACCTAGATACTGAGGACCAGTCGGTCTTCTTCTCTTCCATCTCGTCCCCCTCACCGGGGGAGGGGGAGCATGAGGTGGAAGCCTCAAGAGAATGTAACAAAACCGCCGGCGTTGACACCACAACCTCACTCTTAACCCCCTCACCACCCTTCTTCAACAACGCTACACGCACCCCAGTACCCAAAGCCAGCTTCTTCCCCTCATTCACAATCTGACTCGCCAATTCCTTCGTCGGCGCCACCACCACTACCCGCACCTTCTTCCTCTTCCCCTCCCCCCCCCCCTCATCACCTTTCCCCTGCGCGAGTATCCAGTCCAGGACCGGTACCATGAACGCCACCGTCTTCCCGCTTCCTGTCGGCGCGCAGCAGATCAGGTTCTCACCACGCGAGATCACGGGCATCGCACCCATCTGCACTTCTGTCGGGACACGGTACCCCTGCGCTCGGATGTTGCGGTGCAGGCGTGGGGACAACTTATGCAGGTGGGTGAATGAAGTTAGGGGTTGGATCATTAATGCTTCCTTCTTCTTCTTCTTCTTCTTTCCCTCTTCTTCATTAGCATTTGTAGGTTCCATAGGCGTAAACTTTAATTTATGCTTCCTCAGTAAGGCCCTTATCTCCTCCTTCCCTAGTACCGGCGGCTCACATAGGCCTAATTCTTCTTCTCCCTCATCATCGCCTCTATCGTTATCGCTCTTATCCTCATCGTCGACGTTGTCATGAGAGCGCTTGATACCAGCGTTAAAAAAGTCGAGCTCTTTCGGGAGTGCGCCGGAGGAGGATACTGAAGTTGTGGTGGTGGGGGTGGTGGTGGTAGTGATGGCGGATTTACTTGCCCTCGCGTTTGCAGCCGCAGCGGCGGAGCCAGCGCCCTTTGCGAATGTGGTCGAGCGGGTTAGTAGGCGGAATATATCCGCCATTGTGGATTTGTGGGGGTGGTGGTGGTAGTGGGAAGAGTGTGGTGGTAGAAGTAATTTACTCGTATGATAGCATTAGCCGGCGGATGAGATTAGAGAAAAAAAGGTCATGCTGCCAAGACGGGAGGTTCCGGGTCATGGGTGTCACTCGGAGTGGGTTGTAAGCTTCAAACCCCAGGTTGGTGGTTATGTAGTGAGGTGACTGGGAACCCTGGGGAACAGTATTTGAACGCAATAAATTAGGCCTCAATACCCGGACCACTGCTCTTGGATCTTGATACCATTTTTGCACTTCTTGTGGGAACCCACAAGGAGTTTATATTTTCTCAATTTATCGTACTACGGTAAGTCTTGCGGTCAGCCTGCTCCAAGTCTAAACACTCTTGCTGAGCCCCCTGGCAGCCGGGTATGACCTCATCCAAACACGACCACAGAAACCCATCTTCAAAGAGATAAAAGAAAGCCCCTTTACTATCACCTGAAAACCTGGAATCCACCGCCGCCGCCACGATATAAGCCCGCAAAAACGAATGAACGTAAAAGTAATGCATCCAAGAAACACATAAGCACCCCTCAAAAAATAACCCCACCCCCACCCGCCGGCCTTCGAATGACCCACTCCCCGCTCAAACTCCCGTTCACCGCACCCGTCTCCGAGAGCCCTTCGTTCCCCCATTCATCCACTGCCACCGCCGCTTTGCCCTTCCCGTCCTCCCTCCCGCCCCCCCCCTTTCGATTTCTACTCCCGCTACCACCCTTCTCCCAGAAATTCGACCTAACTTTTCCAAACGCCGGGTCGTAAGCATAGCTACTCCGCACCTTTCTCCCACCATTTGTAGTTTCCTGCGCCAACAACTCCGGCACCGCAATTCCCAATTCTGCGGCCAACAGCTGCTGATCTTTATCACCCCAAGCACTAAAGTAGTTCCCTTCACGTCTATCGAGAGCGGGAACGAGCGATAGGCTAAGCCAATTCTTGCGCAGCCAGATGACGACAGTTTCTTTAGCTTCATGGAGGGCGTCGGACTTATTCGGCGCGATAGCTTTCTCCAATTGTCGGATGCCGCGGAATACCCGGGGGCAGTTTTTCTGGTTTATGGTCTTTGGGGATGTTGCTCGGGCGATCAGGTCGTGGATTCCAGGTTTCGCGATTGTGGTTGCTTTAAGAACCGTAGAGATTGGACCGGTGATCTTTGAGCTATCGAGCTTATCCGCGGCTATGAGAGCGCCGTAGTCTAGTAGTGGGTCAATGATCTTCCGGTGCCAGTCTTCTTTCAGATCCGACGTGGCGACAAGGGAAGCAAGTTCATGGATTCTCAGGTAAATTTCCACCATCTTCTGCTCGCTGGCGGACATTTCCTTGCGGACCTTGGTGGCAAGGGCGGTGATTACTACATCGCTGCATTTCAGCAGCGGCCTTTTCCAGAGGTCCTTAATGCCCCGGCTACTACTGAGCAGGTCCAGGCCTTTGTTGAAAATCCAGGTATCCGAGACTTCACAATTGTTTACCTGATCTAGCACGTAGGGCACAATATGCGCACAGCTTGCGCCAACACAAGTGAACTCATGCGCCATCCGAACAACCGAGTAATGGGCCCAATGTTTGAGATCAGTAATCTGTAAGAAGTCCGCCGCACGCACAATCTCAAAGAGCCGATCGATGATCTCAACGGGGGGGCTCTTGGTTCCCGCCGCATTGTACAAACTGCAATCCGGAGACCCGCCGGGAGAGACGGGAGAGCTATTCATGTGCTTGTCGAGCTCGTAGTTCCCGAACATGGACCACAGCTCCGCGTCGTATACATACGAAATGACAGCCCACAACCCACAATTCGTAAACTCCTCCGTGTAGAACGTAGCCTCGGTAGCGTGAGCATCACGAAACGCAGAACTGAACTGCGTCTTGAAGTATGCTATACGAATGGGCAGTAAGAAACGGTGCACCTTCGCCGAGTGGACCGGCATTTCGTCCCCCGGTTCTCTTAGATGAATAGTGAAATCCGGCACTAAAACTTCCGGGAGTCCGGTGCTCAATACCGGTTCTTGGAAAACTGCATGAGGTCCCTCCGCTTGCGGATACACGTCGTTCATGGCCTTCCACAACCCCGCCAAGGTCTCCTTCGTGTAGCATTTTTCCAAAATACCCTCAATAATACACTCCAGATCCTTGCCCTCGGGGACGTGGACATTTCGTCCGTCGCCTTCACCGAAGTCCGTGTGGAGTTTATTTCCCGCTGCTATATAGAAGAGAGGAGAGTAAGTGCGGTGCTCATCCCCATCGGAAAAGATGAATCTTATGTCTCCATTTTCGGAGGCATCTTTCTGGAGCCGGCTGAGGTGGGACCTAAGCCCGTCAGTTCCACCCATGAAATCGTACGGGAAGACATCGTAAACTTGGAAATGCGGTTTTGAGGACCTCATGGCGAGAGAGGTTCGAATGGGGGATATGGTGATCGTACCATAGGTTGGGGGATTTAAGAGTAGAAGAAAGAGAGGATGGGTTAAGCGTAGCAAGCCCTGAAAAAGGACAAGAGCTGTACCGGTATGATACTTGTACTTGTTAATGAGCGCCTGCCGGTCTGACACAGGCCCTAAAAGGCACAAGCCTCATGAGAAGACAATGGTAGGGTAATAAGCCTGCATAGAGCCTTCTCTTGCAACACAACCCCGAGCCTCAACTCAACCCCAGTATCCTGACCCCCATTCCATGATCAGACGTCAACACTCAATCACACTAGGAATCCCAACTATGATACCAGTATTCTCAACCAAAAACACCGTCACCGTTGCCACAATTGTCAAACCCTCCCATTGTGCCGGATGGCATCTGTGAGATGACGTCTGTGAAAGCACCAGCCCGAACTCACAGAGCCCCACAGAGCCGCACAGAGCCGCACAGAGCCGCATACCGTAGCTTAATTTTCGCAAAAGGTATCATATTTATTTCACAAGAAGCCAGTCCGGGAACCATGCCCCACGCATCACTGGCGGACGATAAATCAAAACCCACAGACCAGCAAAAAAAAGATACCATGCCATAATATCATATTATCACATTGTGACCTTCGCTTCAACTTTTAGCAATCTTGTACTAGCTAGACAAACCGCATCAGGAGAATTAAGATGCAGGAACTTCGCGAACATGTAAGCAAACATGAATAGGAAAAAAGGTACAAGAAGAAAGAGAGGAAAGAAAGAAGAGAAATATAAAAATAAAGTGAAAAGCTAGCACAAAGTTATTCTCCCAATGGCATCCCCTCAGCTTCATTACAAAGCGACCTCCAGTTATCTGCGTGCAGTTCAGCGTATTTCACGCGCTCTTGACTCCAGTCTTGGTGCAATCTATTGCGATTATTAGCTACGCTCCCGGTGCCTTAATCCAAAAGGCGGAAGGAAGAGGGAACAAACCTAGCAACATGATACTGACTATTCTGGAAATAAACCAATTCATCCCTAATGCATTCCTTGATCAGGACTCCTCTAGCATGCTGGTCGACAATGCTCTTCTTGTCTCTACTAATGCTCTCTTGAACCTTCTCCTCTTCTCCCGGCTTTCCGGGTTCCGTGCGGTGGCGAAGCATTTCGAGTTTGGCCTCATTCTGCTTGATTCTCCGCTCGAGTTGAGGGATGTTGTCTACAGCGTAGCGGTCCTTGCGTTCGAATAGTTCGCGCATGCTAATGAGGCAGTCGCGTTGGCGCTTGAGGTCCTCGAGGACGCCTTGGTCCCAGGCCTTTGTCTCATCTTCGATAAGGGATTGTGATTGCGAAAGATGCTTAGCAACTGCTGTCAGTCCATCATTAAGTAATGGGATTTCGCTTGTGTCGACGGCATAAGTAGCTTCGGAGACGTCGGTCAGAGACCGAAGAGCACCAGAGAACCTCATGTAATCTGCTGCAATGCCCTCCTGACGTTTCTCAAGACGTTCGACAAGATTGCACAGCTGGATGTAAATCTCGGAGGACTTACGCAGCCCACTGCGAACCATATCGAATGTGTTCTCCAGGTTTTGTGGTAGACGCTCCTCAAGCCCAGGAGGAAGGGCCTTTCCAGAAAACTCCTCCTGAACCGAAAGGTTGGCCTGCTTGCGCCAAACGGACAGCTCCTGTTGCTTATTTTTTTAGCACGCCCATGATTTTTCACAAATCGCAATAGCCAACGACATTGTCAGTGAGTGTAAGGGTACATACCGTGGGAACCGTCAAAAACATAATCACAAGCTGCTCCTGCGAAAGGACCGGGTGACGGACAATTGCATTGGCAAATCTGGATAGTCCTCTCCTACGGCGCTCTAGGAATGCCGCATCGGCTGAGAGATAGTGCCCATTAACTACGCGACCGTGAATAACGTTATTTCCGCTTCGATACGAAACCACAAACAGACCCACAAACAACATCTCAAGGTAACTGGAACTTACCAGCCAACCGTTTAGGGGGCAATAGAGGTAGCTGCCGAAACGGGAACCGTTTATGAAGGCAATCCAATAACCTGCACGTAGCGGGCGTCAGACCATCTCCCGGTAAATCATGGATGGTGACTTACCAAACAAAGTCACTATATCGCCTAACAACCCTACTCTGTCTCCTCGCACTTGCAATTTGGTAATTACGATGCTGGAACATAAACATCCCCTCCTTCTCTGGCAGCACAGTCACAGTGACAACCTCCTCCGGACCTCTTGGAACCCTCATCCTTCCCAACCCACCACCATCAGACCCAGTAATAGTAGGCGCAGAGCCATTCAGACTATTTCCACCCAGGCCACCGAACGAACCATGCCTCTGTCCCCTTCCAGGGTTCGACTCCCCGAAAACAGCAGACTGGTTATAAGTGCTCCCCCCAAGCGAGTCTTGTCTCTGAGGGGCATCGTAAACCCCCCAAGACGAAGCGGATGTCCGACTTGCATCGCTCTGTCTAAGGGCAGAATGGATATCATCAGGCTCATGATCCCCATCACCTATATGCTGTATGGTCTGAGAGGGGCGAGAATAAGCGGAGTGATTACTATCAAGAGAAGGATCCGTGGGTGGCATTCCAAGCGTAGACGCAGATGGCGTATATTCAAAAGTATTTCTCTCCGTAGGAGGGGTCGGCTGACGGTTGCTTCCACTGTTATCTATAATAGCTACCCGATTGTCCTGTTGGTTGACGTGATCATGGTTTTCGTGCATCTCAGGACTCCCCCACGGATCTGATTCAGCGCCAAATATGCCGGCTGCGTTTCTCGGGCGGGTCGGAGCAGTGCTTATAGGAGTGGATTGTTGGCGATGGACAACTTTAACGGGCGTGGTTGAGGTAGGGAGATCCTGGGCTGATTGTGAATGGTGTGGGGGAGGAGCAACGGATTGGTTGATCGAAGATGCAATAGAAGTGGTCGGAGTCTCAATAGTCTTCGAGAGGTGGGGACGACGAGACTTAGCTAAGTCTGGTATGGGCAAATCTAAATCCAAATGTCAACATGGCACTTTATTCTTTCCTTCCTACTGCCAGGCTGCAAGGGATAATACTCACTCTTCCTCGAGTCGTCCACCCCGTCGATAGTGACTTCTTCACCTTGCTGCTCCAATCCAACCAGCGCCAGCAAAACGTAAAATTCCTCACGACCGATGCTTTGTTTTCCGCCTTTTATCAAAATGCTCAAAATTCTGTCCTCGATGCCATACCCATCGGCATCAGCTTCCTTGAGTACCTGCTTCACACCAGCCAAGGCAACCCCGCCTCCAGGGCTTCCAAATTGATCCGAAAACGACTCGTAAAGGAAATCGTATCTCTCGGGAATATTCGCATTCTCTTTCGTGAGTAGCGTCTTTGAAATGTCCGTAGGAGCACCGCGCCGGGCCGTGGGAAGCCCAGCCGAGTTCCAGGCACCAGCGCCAGAGTCATCAAACAGCGAACCGGGTGCGGACTCGAATTCTTCATCCGCAAAGAGAGAAGAGCGAGAACGACCTGGGGGGGAATCACCAAATAGCGACATGGTTGCTAGCGAGGAGAAAAGAGACAGAGAGGAGAAGAACAATACCGGTAAGTTACGAGCTCGCAACCCGGGATTACTTGCACTGCTCGTTGCACCCGCCCTGCTGCCCCCCCCCAGTCCAATCAGCAGCCAGCCATCCCGGAACTGTCCCAATTTGGAATACCTGATACCGGTACGGTACGTACCGGGTCAAAACCCTCGCTTGAGTAAAAGCCATAAAACTCACCCCGTTCCCAGAACTACGCATGCGCATGGCACATCACTCACACCAAAATACTATGATAACTGTAAAAGCCCGTTGCGGCACAAGTGCCTACCTGTAAGCCAACAGCACCGCTTAAATTATAGCTTAAATTTAACATGAACTTCGCTATGCTCAACTTGGCCCCAAAGTGAAAGAGAGCTCAGTTGAGTGACCGTATCAGCACCATATTGGTGCTTCGCTACTACACTCGATAAAATTCTGCCAAGGGTAACAGATATCTTCAGATATCTTCCTCGGGTTCCCGCCTGGAACATGCGAAGAGAAATCGAAACAGCCCCGATAGGTTCAAAGCATTAAGAGTAGTAACGAATGCTGGGAAACCCCCCCCCCCCACCACTCGATATGTCCTAAAATATAGATAAATTGCTTTCACGTTAACAATTATCATTGTGCTATCAGGGCATTTTCTCCTACAGCTTCAGTACCAGCGTGATTATTGGGATGAGGAGTACTTGGGGAATCACATAGTGGAGAAGAGGCTATGGGGAAAATTATCCCCCCCCTTTTTTTTTCGATCCAACATGTCAGGTTAGGCACAAGTTACATAACTATTCGAGAATATCAGTCTACACCCTGGCTCTGGACCAAGTTCCGCACCCAGCTCTCTTTTGAACCCCATGGCTAAAATCAAGACAACATACCTACAATGTCAGCATAGCAATGGATGGTATTGGCGCAAACGCTAGTATTCCTTCCGATCGCTACCAATCCATATAATTATGCACCTGTCCGAAGAAAAAAATCAAAAATCATAGCAATCATGCTCCATCACTCGGGGGGCTCAGGGCTGGAAATACGGGTATCGGAAGTATTCACCCCAACGCGATGGAAAGTACATGATATGTCCTCTCTCTACAAACTTATCCCCTTCCAAGAAATTCCGGCTTCCACCTTTTCCACTATGGCAAGACTTCGAATTCGCCCACATACCGTAGACTATAAACTCGTTCGATCCACCATCTAGGATCTGGTCCAGATCCATCAGAAACAAAAAACTCAGAGAAAGAACAGTGCCATCCATATGGAGTATAGCCTGGGGAGACAGAGCTTACGGGATCTACTAGCATTCGCTATTTTGTTAACCTGATCTGCTAAGCCCATTGTGGTTTAGGAAGTGATTTCTGCTGACATCCCCGATGGTGGATTTAACGAGTTTATACAAGTGCGGTAGACTACTAGTTCAACCAACGATGGCGGCGATAGTGGAATTCAACCACAGAACTACTCGTGGACAACCGTCCAGCTGCTCGGCAAAGGTTTATTTCATTCTTTTCCATATATCTTTGGTATTGGCTGCAGCCAGCTCACTCCAGCCGTAGGGTTTCAGGGACCGCGAGCTCCAAGTGAGTAAAAGGGTTAGAGATCTAACAACTCGTGTCGGGGCGGGGTTCATCGGCGTGCTTGGGGTGGGATCTCCCTTCTCCAGTGGCAGATGGGGCTGGTTGGGTCAGCTCTGGTGGCGTTCCTTGGAGTAAGGTTTCCGTGCATTCGAATTTTCACTGATGCTGAAACAAGGGCTTGTATCATGGTTCGCCGGGTATACATGCAATTGAGAGACTCGCAGATAGATACATTCCATGGATTGTTGATAGTCTTGATTCTGTTCCCGCAATGCAGTAGTATTAATACGAGCCGCAAAAGAATTATCGTACTCCATAGCATGTTGCTGATACATTATTCTCAGAGAACCAAAGACGCCTCTAATCCTGTGAAGAAGGTCAAGAGAATAGCGGGGGCGCGGTGCAAGAAACTACGAACGAGACCATGTCAAGGGGCCCGACGAACTAACAAGTGGGACAAGCAGTGCCGGAGAAAGTGGTGCGACGACGATCACGGTATCATACCGTATAATACTGTACAGTAACTCATGGAAACCCACCACTTCCACGCTGTTTACGTAATCGAGATGTCCAACAGACCCTGCAGCAAACTTCGGGGCGTCATCAGCACATCAACGGTAACCCTATCGGAGAGGTTGGTTCTTGTTTCTTGCTATGATACCGGTTGCGGAGGGAACGGCTGAATTCTCATCCGCTCGCTCCAGCATACGAGTAGTGTCGTGGTAGGGTTCGGGTTTCATCTTGCTAAGCCAACTAAAATTTCTGACAAGTTGCCTTCTCCCGTTTCCCCCGCAGAGTACGCTGCGTACGATTGAAGGAAGATTAATGTCGTACGTATTACTATATACAGCTCTGGCACAAGTTGCTCGGGCATAGAAAGAAAGAAGTGGCGAGGCTCTATTAAGAAGCCGAGTGATGGCACGTGAGGAAAAGAAGTCGGAAAACTTCGCAAGACACTGCAGAAGCGCCCAGCAACGTTCAGAGATATTATTGCCAACACTCCGCTATCGATGGGTCAAGCCTTGCTATGGCTGACACCCACACACTATTGAGCCCATCTAATACAGTACCCGCCCCAAAGCCACGGTATTCTAACCACATGAGGAGTAAATCATCTATCATACGAAAGAAGGGAAAAAAAGAAAAAAAGAAAATCTCACCCCACCCCACCCCATCCCACTTCTGAGTTAGATAGCAAAGCCCACCGAAATCTAGCTAGCCAGGCCGCGGTCCTTCCTCTTCAGACTCAGACATTCCTTGACTTGGGGTGATCGTAGTATCACCCCACCCAGCACCCCCACTCCCCTCAACAAGTCTAGCATTCAACTGGCCAAACCACCTCTCCCGACTACGTCTATCTCCCCCTCCCTCAGCGACTCTGGCAGCCCTTGTAAGGCGCCTTTTTCCATTCCTACCACCTTGGGAGAGCAGCCCACTGATTCTCTTCCTCTCCTCCTCTCTGGCCAGGTCATGCCTCGTGATGCCTCTAACGTACGGAGCCGCATCAATCATTAAAGCCACGCGAGAACCGGTGACGACCGAGTGTGAAATGGAGGGGGCGGGTGAAAAGATCGTAGAGGTGGATCCAAGCGATTGGAAAGCCTCTCGGATGTAGATATCTGAAAGGGGACTGGAGCTGTGCCGTCAGAAAGCGTGTTAGATGCAACCATACTGAGCGATTGGAGATACCTGAGCTCATCCCTGATACTTCCCCTATCGGCGATGGTGCTGATGATTTCTTCATCGCGAATCGCATTAAGTGGAGAGATGGACAAGGCGGTTGCTTTATCATTAAGATGCACCCTTGCCAGCGATCTCACGCAGATCGAGATATTTGTCTCTGTTGACCAAGGCGTGGCCACGGGATCCGTCTGCAGAGTTTGATACCCCATGACATCGTCCAAACGAACTTTTGCACCAATCAGGGGGAGTGTGGTATCGAATGCAGCCTTAAGCATGATGGTCAGTCGTTTCCACTCCAACCACCCCGTTGGGTCGAGTCATGAAGCCTACCTCAGTGCTGTCCATGCCCGAGCCAGCGCACATATCCACGGAGCTCATTGCCTCAGCATAGTCGTCCCATATTTCCAAAGATTGGAGATCCTCCCCGAACCCAGTAGAGAAATCCTTTAATTCCTTGTCCTCCCCGGATCCTACATCAACTCCCCATTTTTCCCATACGTCATTCCATTTCGCCTCGTCACTGGCCCCTCTCAGGATCCAATCCATGCCTTTGCGATAAGTGTTTCTACTGATCACCCTAAGAACGTTTCCATTCTCATCACGGTCGGATCCACTGGGCCACCGTACCAACATCCAGTCCAACCCCCCCTTCCTATCCCCCACCCCCATTCTGCACCAGAACTCAAGTTCCATCAAGCTAGCCCTAAGATCCCGGCCTGTTGCCTTTACCAGTGTCATGACAGCCTCCCTGCGAAGCATATGACCTTCATTGGCACATATCAGGAGTAGGTGATCGACGATCAAGTCCATCGGCGGCGGTGTCAATCTTAAGACAGCGTGTAGCGATAGAAGGTCAATCGGCAGAAGACCCTCATCATTGCAAGTCATCACAACCGGGCGTTTGGACTGCGCGATAAGCGAGAGCACAGTGGACCAGAATTGTTTGTCTTCATCAAATAATAGATCAACCTCCTCCAGAAGAAGGAGTGATTGCTGCTGAGACTTATTGAGCTGGAGATCTTCCTCAGCCTGTGCTTTGTTTCCAATCTTGCTTTTGAAAAACGAGGTAGCACTCGCCGAGGCACCTGCCTTGGTCTGGTGCACAAGGTGATTGCGAGTCATTTCTCCCACAAGGTCGAGAATATCTTTACCACCCCTCTTGGCCCCGGGAGAGACTTCGAAGACGGTGAACCCGACTTCCTTCGCAACTGCGTAAACGGTTGCTGTCTTCCCGCATCCATTGGGGCCACTTATGACCACAGCGTTCACAAGTCTGTCGGGTTCTCTGAGAATCCCAGAGGGGGAATCAGTTCCTTTATCGCCAGCGCGTATGGTGGACTTCTTAACGCCGGGAATTGTAGAATAATCTGTGTCCTCAGGATCGGTTATCTCGTCCATCTCATTCTGCTCTTCCTCGCTATCAATGATGAACCCAGCAAGCTCATCATCGTCCTTCTTACGCTTTTTCTTTCTCCTTGTAGCTGCTTTCCCCGCTGCTGCTCCAAGACTGTGTTTTTTCTTCCCCTTGGTACCTTGTTTCTGATTGTTGGAGCCAGTACCCACGTTCTCCACCTTTAAGGCCACCAACCAATCCTTCAAGATCCGAGGTTCTTTGCCGATTTGCAGTACTTCACTGGAGGAAGTCGGTGCATACTTAGCCTCCCAGGCCTGGCTCTCGCATTCATCCTTATCAAAAGCACTAAGTTCTCTGCCCAGCCTATCGTAAAGATTCAGTAGTGCTTGGTGTGGCCGCGTCTCCAATCCTCCAGAACTTATGCTCGAAACCGAATTTTCTCGGCTACGTGGAAGTTCCAACGCACTGTTATTCGGATGAGGTAGTCTTGCAGCAACCCTCTCTCGCACTGCTTCTTGGAATTTTATACCAGTAGTAACGACACGTTTTGGGAGTCTAATATCACAGGGAATCTCGCGGAATCGTCTCTCATGATAATCCGCTGACAACATATCCTCTCTCTGAGCATTGATGTCGAGGTGTGATGTGAACTGCCTGAGTATATCCTCCTCGGGAGAGATTGCAACCACAGCATCCTTTAGTTTCCGTTCTTTCAATACGAGCTCGCCCTCTAGCCTGTGAACAATAGACCCCTCTTCCGAGGGACCACGAACATGGCAGTTATATTTTGAAGGCCATGGAGGGCCAACTGCCCCACTATTTCTCAGGGAGCGGCTATTCACGGAATTAAGGTACGATACAGGCCCCCGTACACCGAGTCTAACAGATGGCAAGTGTGTCTGGCTATTGCCAAAGAAACAGGAACTACCCTGCGGTTGATCCGGCAACCCGGGAGAAATTGTCTTCACGCGATCAGCACCGTCTCCGCTCGGAGGATTAGTAATCGGAGTATTGTCGAGTTTCTTCATGCCACCAGGCTTGAAGAAAGGATGGACTGATTTCGCGCCTAGCGAAGCAGCTGTCCTTCTCGGCATGTCGCAAATTGTGACAGCCGGCGCAGGCTTCGTACGGGTTTCCAGAATAGGACGATCTAGATCTAATAGAGGTGGGTCCTTTTTCTTCCCCAAGAGACTGAACGCATTAACTGGCGGCATGGCTGGGCTTTCCGGAACGATTAGCGGACTGCTCCGAATCATCAAAACCCCCGTCTCGTAGTCGTAGGTAACCTCCTTTTTCCTCTGGACAGCTTCCTCAAGAGCGGATAAGGGTGCCTCGTCACGCTTGTGAGTTGTACTGGGAGGGAGGTCGGGCTCGGGAAGAGGCGAGGATGGTATGGGTACAGGGTTGTTTGGTGGTATAAACGGGTCGTTAGGCAGAACAATGGTGCCAGTATTTGGACCAGAAGTCACGCCCCGGCGGCCCCGCCTTCTTCCCCTCCGATCACCTGGTACAGGCAGGGGAACCGCACCAGACGTCTTCCCTCCAGATTTACCCTGCTTTCCTAAGAGATTAGAAGTACTGGGGAAAGAAACCCCTTGGGACGTATCCCCTGCCGGGGATGACAGTTTGGCCAATCCCGCACCCGGGACTCGGATAATCAGAATACGCCCATCCCATGAAGAATAGGCTTTAGGGTTTCCAATAGTGTTGTTCAAGCTTTCTTGGGGAGCAGAAGGAGGCTCATGCGAATGCTCCTCGGGTGCGTCGTTCTGGCCGCCTCCTAAGGAATTCGATGTCTTCTTTCTTCTCTTCCTTTTATCGCGGTTAGGATCAATTTCACAACCCCCAATAGCATCCTTCGATAGTCCTGGTGAAGAGGCCAGTATGGGTAACGAGGAATGGGAGCCTGGAGGAGCGGTAGTGTTCGTATCTCCGGATGCATTGGACAGTCCCGTTTCGGCAGTAGTCTTCTTCTTCCGATGTTTCGTCTCTCGAGGCTTCGTCGGTTTCCGAGGGTTTGAATCGGAACGTGCTCGAGATTTTTTAGGTTTAACTTCGGCTTCATTATCTGAGATTGACGCAGGTGTTATAGGATGGCTCCTCTTTCCCTTTGATGGTAAATACCTCAACTCGTTACCTATGAAAACAGCTTATTAGTAAAAGATATATCTCTTCATTGCCAGAAAGAGATTAACGTTTTTGATTGTCAAAAAACGGATGAATTGCCGGCTTTGCAGTCGTGATCTCCTGCTGGAATGAAGATTTTTGTTCCGGCTGCTGGCCCAGTTGATCCCTCCCACTATTCAAGAGTGCACTGTTGCCAACAATACAATCCGCAGACGACATGTTTGCCCAGGTGACGGCCTCAGATAAAGCCGCACGGGCTGGAGGCCTTGCTTCTCGCTTGGTCCGCAAGTATGTAGGCGTGCTGGCGTGGAAGGGTGGTATTTCGTTCCCGTTTCAACTTCGTGGTCGAAATTGCAGACCTCTAGTGGACGCGTTGAGGCTGCGGTGGGCCACGGAAATCAGGGTACGTGACGCGGGCACGCGAATACAACAGCCGAAGGAGGCAAGAAACAAGCGGAGGTAAAGACTGAAGGAGCGAATGTTGAAATGGAGAAGAGACCCACTAAGAAAAGAAAGAAAAAACCTCTAAATTCTAAAAAGCTATCGCATCAGATGCAACTGAAGAAATTGGCGTGAAGGGTCGACATGAGCTTTTGGTTTTCTGCTCCACGCGGTCATGATTCTTGGCCAAAGTAACTTTTGTTGTAGAAGCGCCAAGGGTGGTGTCAGCTCCCCTGCTTCGGAGCCTCATGAAGATCTCGAATCCAGGCATTCATCCTCTGTCCCAGCACGGTGGTCTCAACCATTGATCATGTGCAAGCCCGAGTATCATGCCCTCTGATACGAGGGTTGTGAATACTGTGTCGCTATCGCACAGTACAAGCACAGTGCGTCCTAAAACATGGTGTGCAAGCGCAATCGGACCATCCTGGTGTTCGGAAACCTCAAGAATCTCTCTCCCATCGAGACTTTAAAAACTCTTGACGATCGGAGCGAGATTGAAAAAAGAAGAAAAAAAAAAGATTCCTCCTACCATAGACATACCGGTAGATCGGGCCATGTTTTGACCCGACCCAGTGAAGATCTCTACCGGTAGATCCCCCTGTTAGTTCTCTCGACAAACCGTTGGTATGATATCTGTGGCCAGGAATCGCCCTCCAGAGCCCTATGGAGATGTTTCTTCGTTCTTATCCGGTCAGTCAATGACTGCATTTGTCTGAGGAACGAGGGAGTATTTCCCTTTTCGGCTTTTCTCAGATTGTCAAGGCCCTTTAAAGTTGAAATGGTAGAGTAGTAGCAGCATCCCGGCCAAGCACTTGAATGGGAGTATTATACGGTACTCGAGTACTGTGCTAGTACAGTACTCGTACATAGGGCCCATGGGCTTCCGGCGGTTGAATACCGGTACCGTAGCCTACCGGCAGAGCACTGTAAGTTGGATAGACCACTGCTCTCGGGCTCGAATATTACTCACCAAATACTGCGAAGCTACGCCCACACACATAGTATCGTATCAGCACACGATCGAGCGAACTACCGGAACGCCGGCACTGACTGATATTGCTCGTAACACCATCCTCTCTCCCACACCCGATTGCAGGGTGGTATCTGAATCGCACGTTTATACTCCCCACCGAGAAGCCAGCCTCACGACTCAGAGGTAATTTTACCGTATCATACAACAAGTATTGTACCGGTATGGTGATTCCCCACGCCCATACGGTACCGCACCGGTGCATCATTCACTCTTGCTGCTATACTGTACGAGTACTTGTGCGGCCCCTGCAAAGCGGGCAGAGAGAAGTGAGGGGGGAGGATTGCCGAGCGCCAAAGGGTTACTTACACCTGTGATCACTGCATCATGACATTGTACGGTTTTCCCCCCATAAACACGGCATCCGAAGCCTCACGTAGTCTACCGTTAAGGCTGTATCTATACTCGAGTATAGCACTATACGATACAAGAACTCGTACATACGAGCCCCGATACCATTGTGGATCGGCAGACTTACTTGTACCACAAGTTACCAGTGTCGGGGAACGAACGAACCAGGGCAGCACAAGACAAATCAAATTCCTACAGTAAGACACACCGTTAATTCCTTCTCATCGGGTCATAGCGTACGGTTTCGATAAATTCAACGGTGGCCGATCCAGGCAAAGTGCCCGTATCGGCAACTCGCGATGCGCGTGCTCCCACTTCTGAGTCAGTCGTTAGAGTTGGAATACCGGGAGTCTACTCGTACATTCCCCTTCGCACTCTCCTCCAATCACCCGCAAATTTTCCCACCAAGCATCCTGCAGGGCACCCACCGGTACTCGAATCGATTACTTGGATCCCCCGAGTATCTTAGCCCAGAACGGCAAGACAAGGGCCCACCGGGGAAAAGTGTGTCCGAAGTTTTCTTCGTGTTTTTGGTGGATTCACGCCAAGAGAAATAAGAACTTCAGCCTTTTTCCCCCAGTAAACACATTAGGACGGTTAGGCGCGTCTGAAATTATGCTTTTGCTCGGTAATTTCCTTCCCGCACAATAACTAATCTAATGGCTTCGAGGTGAGAGCAACTGGGATTCAAAAGAAAAGAAGAAAGGGATGCTGTCGTGTTCACCCCTCGTTCCTTCTTTACTTCCTCTCCTCCCACTACCAGTATCCGTTTGCGCACTTTGGCCATCCGACTCCATCAAACTGTTGCCATTGAGTTCGCTTTTGTTGCTGTCTTTGGGGTCCATTGGCTTTCGTCAACCGGGAAAAGGAGGCTTAGAGCAGAGGACACATACGAGTTCGAGAACCCCACCGACACGAATTACGGGTCCCATTGCTTTGAAGAGAGTTCACACTTGGACCCCAGAAGTTCGGGCGGGAACAAGAGCAGAAAAATATGGGTAGACCGAGACGAACATCCTCCCTGGGCGAGGACATCCGGGGTGATACTTCAGCTCCTGGAATATCAACCATGAGCACATCCCACGCACAGGTAAACACCCCTTGTCTCCCCTAATTTTGGCCCGGTAAACAAACATTGTGCCATTCTAGAGAGCTGCTTCACGAAGTCGACGAAGGGCTTTATCCAAACCTCGGCCACCATCGAAATCCCGAGCTCAGAGCTTTTTCACCTGGTACCGCGAGATCTCTTACCGCAGGACATGGAGTATATTCCCACCTTCCCACATTTGAGATCAAGACATGAAGCTAACCTGTGGTCTGCAGTAAACCCCCTGGTGGCTATGGCCCTGGTAATGGGAGCTTATGGCTTGAACCCCACTCCCGAGAATCCATTACATGCTTGTATTTTCTTATCCTATCCCGAACCTCCGGATCCGACCTCACATGCGCCTACAGAGACGCAGTATGGTAAAGGAATGAACGACTTTCTCTTTGTTCTATTTTACACCTTCTTCTTCTCTTTCACTCGTGAGTTCCTCATGCAGCAGGTCTTGCGGCCGCTAGCGATCTGGTGTGGTATCGCCAAGAAGTCCAAAGTTTCCCGCTTCATGGAGCAGACTTACACCGCAATCTATTTCTCTATCTTCGGCCCATTCGGGTTATACGTAATGTCTAGAACACCAATCTGGTACTTTAATACTACAGCATTCTACGAAAGATACCCGCACTATACCCACACAGCCGATTTCAAAACCTACTACCTCCTCCAAGCTGCATACTGGTCGCAACAAGCGATAGTCCTAATGCTCCAACTTGAGAAGCCGCGCAAGGACTTCAAAGAGTTGGTATTGCACCACATCGTGACCCTCTCACTCATAGGCCTCTCCTACCGTTTCCACTTCACTTGGATCGGGGTTGCCGTTTTCGTCACCCACGACATTTCGGACTTCTTCCTCGCAACTTCCAAGACGCTAAATTACCTCGACCACCCATTCACAGGTCCATACTTTGCCTTCTTCATTCTCGTTTGGATCTACATGCGTCACTACATCAACTTGAAGGTCATCTGGTCCATTCTCACGGAATACGAGACCGTCGGAGTCTGGGAACTCGACTGGGTCACCCAAGTGTACAAATGTCGCATCGCACAGGTCATCACAGGCGGTCTTTTGGGTAGTCTGCAAGCAGTGAATCTCTTCTGGCTATGGCTAATCTTGAAGATTGCGTGGAGATATGCCGTTAGCAACATTGCCCAGGACGAGCGCAGCGATGATGAAGATGAAGAGGAGGAGAGCAGTGAGAGTGTTGAGGCTGAGTACATGCCCCTCAAGCTTTCCCTCTTCTGAACTTGTGCTAATGCGAGGACGCGGAGTAGCTCCCCAAAGCCGCATATCACCTGTGAAGACGAACAAGAGATTAAGAAAAAGATGTAATATCAATACATACCCACCGGCAAGTTTTTTCCCGAAAATAGGAAAGAGAGAGGACTTAAATGACGTTCCCCGTACGATATTAACACTGTCCCGAGCAGTGTCCCCATTACATTAATCCCTTTTACTCCTCCACCTTACTCCTCATCCTCTTTTTTTTTCTTTTTCGGTTTTGTTTTTCTCTCACTGGCAGAACTTATACTAGCTGGTCACCTGTACGTACTATTTAATGAAGGAAGGCCTAATGGTTAGAGAGATATCATACATGGGAGAGGGGAAAGGTGCACCACACAGGATAGGACAAGACATAAGGTGCGGATAATTATTAGAGATGATGCACCGGGTGCTCAAGCTGGCAAATATCAATATATAATATTATAGCGATGGGTTTCCGGCTGGGCTCGATTTGGGAGTAGGTGTGGGGGGTGCTTTGCCATAGACCTTCTCTTTTTTTTTCTTCCCTTGCTGTGATATGATATCTTGAGGGGTTTGGCAACCACATATTGTATGATACCAGTAATTTGTGTTCAAATCTTGTTTCGTACTAGTACACGTGATTTAGAATCGACTGATCGCAGCTCGTAGAACATGCTTATATAATCTCTTTTAGTGCCATTCTGATTTGTCGGTTCCAAATCGCGTGCACTATTTGTACCGTACGATACCCTACAAAGCACGATTCGAACCCAAATTATGTGGTTGCCAAACACCCTTAAAATTTTGCGCTCTCTTGGTTGGTTAATCATTTCTTATCACTCGCCCCGCGAAATGAGATGTGGAACTGACTGGGCTGTACTCGAGTAGTGTGTGTGGTTGCCCCGAAGTGCGATATTATGATAAATTTACTCCACGTATCACACCAGGGGGCAGAGGGGGTGTACCGCACAAAACGCAGAGGCGATAGGAGCACAGTACTCGAGTAAACTTCTAGAGGGGGGGGGGGGGAACGAAAAGCGCTTGTGATCCCCATATACGTTACGGTACCCAATTTTCCTCCGGGCCAACACTATGCCGGTACTATATTACTGTTCATTGGTATATACAACCGTCTATACATATCATGCATTGTACAAGATCAAAAATGTGCTGCCCTCCTCGCGCGCCCCGGAAAGGGGGAGAAAGAGAAGCCGTAGAGCAAAGACGAAAAAAGAAAAAGAAAGAAAAAGCCCCAACGCCCCAACCAAGAATAAGAAAACGAGACCCTAGAAATCAACGGCTACTCTGGCCACACCCACAACTTCTCCTCCTTCACTCTCCTCCCATTCCCTCCATACCCAATCATTTCCCGCCTGTCATCTAAAAGCCTGGCGTACTCTAGCATGAGCCGGAACATATACACCTCGATGTCCTCCTTTCGCAGCACCTTCGCGGCCCACTCCCTCCCCTGCCCGGCCAATCTCTTCCCGGTAGAATCGTGCGTGGGTATGTATACCCCTTCTTCCTCTTCCCTATTTCCTAGGCCAATAAAGTACGTGATAATAGAGTAAAAGTCGTCGAATCTATTATCCATAGGGGCGAAATGCTGCCACGCAAATAATCGACTATCGTGCCATTCCCTGAATATGGTAGCTTTAATTCCCAGACTGCGGCTTTTCAGCCAAGCGTGCCAACGGCCGGAGAAGCTGTGGCCATCGATGTCTGGGAGGTACTTGTTTAGGAACTGGTCTGTTAGGGTTGTCGTTGCATTTACTTCTTTTAGGAAGGTGCGTAGCCAGCCGCATTTGCTATCTGGTACGCACCAGGCGAGTTCTGGGAAGCCAATGTCGGTGTACTTTTCCGAGAAAGGGGATGGATCCCAGTTTTTGGTCTCGATGTAGGCCGGTGGAGTGGCTGTTGAGTCTAGGGTGGGTAGGGTAAGGCGGGTTTTCGTGTTGTGGAGGTCGGTACCATTTGCTAGTTGGACGAAACGGTGACGGTGGAGGCGGCGCCAGGTACTTAGTTTTTGGTTCCCGCCCGAGGTTATGCCGCGCCAGAAGACGGTTGTGTGTTTGTCGTCCCAGGGGACGTCGTTCTCTGGGCTGTAGGTGTAACGTGGGTCATCGCTGTAGTACATGTTTGCCGGGAAGAGAACTTGTGGGGTGGCTTGTTAGCATCAATGTAACTGAAGGTGGGAAGGGCTGATATACTGTCGTTATTGACGTTAACCTTGCATTCACCGAATACTGGAACTAATTCCTTTGTGGCTACTATGGTAGCGGGGGCAAACAACATTCCGTGAAGGTCCTGGATAGCTGGGCCAACAGTGCACAGATCACTGGATATATTGAAGTTGGAGACTAATCCGCCGCTGTTCGGGAACTTGTACTTTGCTTCTGCTACAGCTGGATCCATGGTCATGTTGTTCCGTGCATAAGAGTCTGGCGGACAAGCTTTGCTTGCAAGGTCCATGTATGGAATCCCTGGCACGCTGAACCATCCTGCCGTTGGGAATGACATAGATTCGTCTGCTCTCATTAGCAGTGTAAGGTATGCATGCCGGAGCTTATGGTATAATTCAACCCACCTAGCTCTCTGTTCCTTGAAAACCCGTTTGTAACTGGTCTGTCCATATTACGACTTTTCTCTTCAATCTCGAGATGCTCCTGTAATTTTTCCCATTCAACAATTACCCTTGGCTGGTCAAGCCTGTTCATGGCTATCTGCATATCCGGTAATTCCTTAACGAAGACGTTCAGCATTTTCACGAATTCGTCTGTGCGCCAGTTTCCCCCAGTGACTTTTATCTTGCCGTGCTCAATCTAGATCGCAGTCAGTCAACAGTCTGGGAGATTTTCTAAGATGGACTCTACCGTGATTCCGGCAAGACCACTATTTCCGGGATCCTCTTTCAGCATTCCCTTCACCACCTTCCTCAGTTCCAATGGCGGAATACTCCAAAATGGTCGCAGGTCATCCCAAATTTGGTCAAAGTCGTCTACATTGTAGACGTTTCGTTCCCTAGCAAACCGATACCACTACGCAACTGATAAGCCATGGGAACTCACTGCGGTTATAAAGAAGACCTGCCTTATCGAAACCCGGAGGAGGATGCCGCCCATATTTTTTCCGGTATTTGCCTATGGCTTGTACAAAAGTCTTTGACCGGGAGTCTTGGTATTGCTTAAAATCCGCTGCTGCCTTCTCCATCAACTGAGAAATAGGATGACCATCAGCCTTCTCGGAGCTATAGCTGAAGTCGTCTTTGTCCTCATGAATTGTGAGTTGCGGAGCCTATGAACGCACAGAAAGTTAGCGTTGCTATTCTCACATCCTCACCCCCGGTAATCAGTGTTTTCAGTACTTTATTGCGCTGCCCAGGACGTTTAAGTGACTGTGGAATTGGTAAAATTTCAATCCCACCTCGGTAATCGGTGCCGGTGATAACGGTTAAATTTGTGAGGAAAATTACGAATGCCGAAATAGATAGAATAAAAAATATTCGCGGTCTTGAAGAGGAGGGAGGAAGTGTCATACTGCTAATTGTTCCTGCAGATTCTTGGTGGTTACGGTGGTTTCTAGGTGCAGGGATTAGGTGTAACTGTAAACAAACAACAGAGGGCGCTACCAGTGCTGTGGAAGATATGAGATTTGTCAAGATGAAGGCGGAGGGGATTCGCAATTGAAATAAATCAAAATCGTGGCGGCGCGAGGTGGTAAGGAGAGAAAGGAAGTATCATGTACTTCTCGTCTTATGGGGTACGGTATGAATTGAGGTTCTGAGAGGATAACCGTGGTGTGGTTAGTCCCAGGCTCTAGAGTCGAAAGTGCCCCCCGAACCCACAGCAATGGGTGAACCCTGGCCCTATACGAGTAAATTGTAATACCATCACAGATTTGTGCGTAAGCGCTTGCACTCTAGTACAATGAACTGGTTTGCACTCTAGTACAATGAACCGGTACTCGAGTACAGTACAAGTACATGTACACACCTGGAAAAATGCAAATTGGGTTCTGCCGTTTGTAGATAGCCTCATTTGGAGACCGCTTCAAGGGCCACTAGACTATATGTCATTGTTCTCTAAACGTATCGTACGGGTGAGCCTTGGTCTTGCACCTAAATTAATCTAACCTGCGGACCTGACGAAGAAATGAACGAAGACATCTAAACCTCAGTTCAACCCTTGTGTGGGCTATGGTATCAGGTATTCCACCAATGTCTCTCTCCCTCCCGTGCTCTCATAAGTATGATTCTACGGGTATGTTATGGTGCCGGTCAACTAAAACCCACACTCTACCTAAAGTTCTCGCAAAAACCATGCATACTGAATTATTCACATTTGAGAAAAAAGAAAAAAAAACCCCTCTGGCAATTTTATAGAGAATCTCTTTTCAAAGCCTCTAATGGGGTTTATCCTATCTTTATCTCGTCAACATGCTCAAAAATAACAATTGGAATCATGAAGTATGATACCGTGGGTTATTTGATAAAGTTGGATGATACCACGCCACAACTTCAATTCTAACCCTAACTAAAACACTGAGTTCCTGCATGAACTTAAACAAGAACAGAAATTATGGATTGGTTCTAATTTCCGAATTAAATAATTTTACTAGAGGAAAGCCTACCGGTGTTATAAGCTCTCAAGAACTGGGTATTCCAAATTTAGGAATTCGGATCAAGTTAGCCGCAAGTTCAGCCATGTTGTAGTCTAATACAAGTGGAATCAAAATTCTCTGGAGCAGTAAAAGGGAACAAAAATTTCTTCGAAATCACACCAAGATTGTTGTTTTTTTGTGGGAAAACTGAGTCTTGGCAATATTTGAAAGTTTAATAGCATACTGGTACCACTCTTGAGGAGTTGGGAAATGAGTGGACGTTTGTATATAGAAGATGATCTTATTACTGTTTTCAATGGTTCTATGAGGGTTTGTGTTTTTGTAGATTTTTCTCCGTGGAATCATAACATCTTGGTGTGAAATCTGCCATTTTTGCGCTTGTGCCCTATCACTTTTTTGATCCCACCTTGTATCATAATTATCATAATAATATTATCATACCAATGTTCGAAAACAATAGTCTAAATTGCAGGGCTCAGAACAAGGGCTTGGCATTAAATTGTTATGATATTCTCCAGAGTATGTATGATAATAATATGATGCTCGAGTACCGGTATGATACCCTTTGAGTATGATACCGGAAGTGTTTTAGGAGATGGGACGCCAAGCCTCAGGTTCTATGAATCTCATCCCCAAAAAATCTACTTCTACAAACAACCCCACCACCCCGCCATAACCCTCAGACACTCTCGTTTCTAAGACCACTTCCACCCCCCTTTCCTCCTTCCACAAAAACGTTAGACGAAGGCTACAATCCTATTCTCTTATCTCTTGCTTTCGGTCTTTGGGTGATATGTCTGGAGAAAATAACTGTGACTCACCTGCGGACGCCGTAACAGAGGCTGCTGTCCTTAAGGCCTTTGGTACCAGAACTCCCCCGGCCGGTGCGCAAAAGAAGCCCCCGCAAGAAAACTCAGCTCCTTCTGCATCAAGCTCAATGAAAACGTCATCCGCTCCAACCGAGCCCGGAAAGCTTTCAGCCAAGGAGCTCAAAGAAAAGAGAAAGCGAGAGAAAGCCGATCGTCGTCAACAAGCTAAATCTAATACTCCTGCTACTCCTCAGCGCCCGCAAAAACCTCAACCACCCAAGAAGGAGGTTCAGGGTAAGGGGAAAAAGGGAGTCCAGCCCACTGTGGCCCACGACTCTGGTATTGTCAAGACCATTTATAGCCAACAGCCCAGCAAAATTCCCGCTGGAGGAAGAGAACAGGAGACCGTTCTCGGGACAAGGGATAAGGATCTTCCGGGTCTTATGAAAGAGTTGGAGATTGAGCAGCATGAGAAAAAGAAGAAGCCTGTGTTCGGGATAAACAATGCCCATCCCGATGTTCACCCCGCAATCCTTACATTGGGTGTGCAGATGAATCAATTCATTCTTGTCGGAAGTAGTGCCCGGTGTTTGGGATTTATGTTGGCGATGAAACGAGTAAGTTCCTTTGTTACCCTCATCATAGTATATCACTCGTTTTTGCTCCCGAGAACGAAGACTTGACAGCCATCTAACCACTCTATCATAGCTAATTAATGATTATGAATGCCCCGCCGGGGCAACTATAAGTCGTCACCTTCCTGGCCACTACTTCTCTCGTCAGATCGATTACCTCATCTCAGCGCGTCCTATGTCGACTGCTTTGGGAAACTCTATTCGCTGGCTTAAGACAGAAATTGCCGCTATTTCCCCCGAGCTCTCGGAAGAAGCAGCGAAGAAGCTCCTCTGTGAGAAGATTGATGTTTTTATTCGCGAACGTATTACTGCTGCTAGTGAGGTGATCGTGAATACCACTGCCGGTCGTTACATCAGCGATGGTGATACGATTCTTACCTTCTCCAAGTCTTCAGTGATTGAGAGGTCTCTACTCGAAGCACATTCTCGCGGAATGAGCTTCAAAGTGCTTGTCGCAGATAGCAGTCATTTATTCGAAGGAAAGAATTCGTTAACTACGTTGGTGAGAGCTGGGGTTGATGTTGAGTATATCAAAATGGTACTCGTCGAACAATATATGGGCGGTGTCACAAGAGTTCTTCTGGGGGCTCATTCCCTTCAGGCTAATGGGTCTCTCTACTCACGTGCTGGATGTTCCATGATTGCCCGCTCTGCCTCTCAGAAAGGGATCCCTGTGATCGTTTGCTGTGAGAGCATCAAGTTCTCAGAGAAGTTCACCTCGGGTGGAATTATTGGAAATGAATTTGGTAATAATGCTTACATTTCTGCCTTATTTATACTGATAATGTGCGAATAGGTGACACCGATATAATTGCCCCTGACAACAATTGCGATAACGGCGGGGTCTTCGGGGGATGGCGTAACCAGTCCACTACCAGCCTCTCTAGTTTTATGTTTGACACCACTCCGGCCAAGTATATCAAAGCCGTCATCTCTGAACACGGCACGCTGGGACCAACCAACTGCCCCAATGTCCTGAGGGCAAATAGCAGTTCTGCACCACTGAAGTAGGCTTGAATATGGCCTATTTGACCACATCTTCATTTGATTTGTTAACACTCTTTCTTCGCCTGTATGGCGAGTTTATGTGGCATATCGCTATTATTATATCTATAGTAGCTCATGACTTTCTTTCTTTTCTTGTATTCACCTACAGGTTTCTTTTCAATGATCATCTCTTGTATTTTTGTCATGTCAGTCTTGATTCGTCTTGTGAGCCTGATTATTTTGGGGAATTCCATATTTCTTTTCTATGGAATTTGTGTATTTGCCATCGGGGGGTGGAGAAACTGGTAGTATGTGACTTTCACTCTTTATTTCTTCCTATATCTACTTTCCGGGGAGGGTTTGTACCTTTGATATTTCTTTTCTGGGTTACGTCGGTATGGGGTTCTAGCTGTGGGGTTGTTATTGGGTGTCTTTTGAGCGGCATTCATAGATGGTTTTCATCAGACGGGTTTTCTCTTTTTTTATCTTAAGAAGCATGGTTTGTTTACGAGATGTTTCTTCATAATGCCGGCATTAGGTGGGCTCTTGCTTGTACGGTGGTTTGTTTTTAAGGGTGGGGTACCAATTACTCTATTCTTGTGCTTTTCTCTTTTTTTCCTTCTTTCGTATCTTTTATTTCAATTTCATTTTTCATTTTTCATTTTTTGCAGTTTGGGATTGGTCCGGGGCCGCCGGAGAAATGGGTCCACTTTAGAATAAAAATTCAGCTTTTTATATAGATTTACAGACATTACAGAGGTCTTCAGTGGTATTCGATCTTAACGTTCGTACGCCGTTTATTCTCGCTATGCGATGTTTGAAGAGAGATATCATCTCAACCCAGTTTCCTCCCTTAATTCCCACAAGCCAGACGCCGTAGCAAAGAAAAAAGCCCAGCCGTCTAAAGTCTTGTTTGCCGAGACGTATAATACATCCACTGCCGCCCCCTTATTCACCATCATCTCAGACGCCCAGATCCAAATCCCAAGTCTTCCCCTTGACCTTCGCAACGTCTTTCAACTTTGTCCCCATCTTGACAACGCTGAAACTGATCATCCGGGGATCCAATCGTAGTGTGCGCTGGATCAAGTGCTGCGTCGGCGAGTTTGAATCGAACCTCATGATGAAGTATTGGCCATGGGTGTGATAGACCAAGTGCGCGCGTCGGCGGGTTGGGAGCATGAGTTTCTCCCAGTATGTGTATCCGCGGACGACTCCGCCGTTTTGTAGTACCGTCATGCCAGCGGATTTAGCGATTTCCTTGATTTCATTGAGGGAGCTTGTCCGGACCTGTGAGTGTTGGGTATTTATTAGCGGGTGTACGAAAGGGGGGAGAGGAATTGGGAATGATATACCACAGCGACGAGTTCGTAAAGCATTTTTTGGGAGGACTGTGTAAGGTCGGATAGGTCCGCTGGTTGGAGGGTGGGGTGGTTGTTTGCTGAATGTAGTTGGGGGGAAGTACGATACGATGACTTTTACGCTGGGTCGGGTAAGTTCTTACTACAGTATCATAGGATTTCCCTGGACCTCGCCAACATGCCGCCACTGACGGTTGAGTTGCATGCCCCACACACGTGATACAATCCTTTTCCCGGCTTTGGAGGCGGGTCATACACACAGCGGGTTCATTTTTGTTCCCTTTGCTCTCCTCCCCCTTCCTCCTTGAATCAGAACTCGGGTTCCAAAAGCCTACCCAACCCAATCCCGCCCATACAATCCCCCTTCCACACATAATAATAATAACCTCAATTTCATCACATCCTGTACAAACTTCATCCGAAATGACCTCCCTCCTCCGTTCCATGCTCACCAGGCCGGCCTTTAAACCAACCTATACCGCAAGAGCAGTAGTTCGCAGAAGGAACTTTACCGTGGGAAATTATTTCTGTTCGTCACAGCCCAGTCCCAAAATCTTGCCGTTCTGACAGAGTAAAATCGAGGAAGTAGGAGAAAGAGAAAGTTGGGCTAATTGGAAATGTGACAGTGACCAGGAAATACACCCAGGACCATGAATGGGTCCTTCTGCCCGACTCTAACAGGAACATTGGTTCCTACTCCCACCGCCCCCCCATCAAGTAATCACAGACTGACACAGAACTACCAGCTACCGTTGGCATCACCGATTACGCCCAAACTGCCCTTGGCGATGTTGTATACGTCGAGCTCCCGGTTGAGGGTGACGGGGTGGAGGCAGGGGACGCCATTGGCGCTATCGAGTCTGTCAAGAGCGCATCCGACATTTTCTCGCCCGTGTCCGGCACCGTTGTTGAGGCTAACGCTGAGCTCGTGAGAAATCCCGGGTTGATCAACGGTGGTGGTGCCGAGGACGATGGGTGGATTTGCAAGATTGAAGTTAAAGACTCAAAGGAGATTGAGACACTCATGGACAAGGCGGGCTATGATGCATATGTTAAAGGATTGGGACATTAGGTATTGTCTGTCGGATCGCCAATACACCCGGGAATTCTTTTCATTTCTTCACTTTCAGACTCTTTTCATCTACTTCCTTGGCTGGGCGGGAAAGTAGTTTACTCCTAAGTTCAGCTTTTTTTTTTTTTTACCTGTTATGTGCGTATTTGCGGAAGGCTAGCATTTTTCCCTTTTGTTTCACACTTGAGCTTGGGACTGGATTTTTGTCGGAACATATTCATTTGCCTACGGTAGTTTCTACCTGAAGGGGGTATTTTCTTACAAACGAGTGATAAAGTATGATCGTAAGTCCGGGGGGGAAAACAGGTCCTTTGGCGACCTATTTTTTCCCGTGTTCCCAAGGGGTCTGTGGGCACAGGGAGTTGCTTCTGAGTGTAGAGCTTGTATTACAATTTCGAGAGCATAGATGGTAATACTAGTACGAGTACAATATATTACAAGTCCCAGGGGTTTGATAGCGTGATTCCGGTAGAAGGGACGGGGGGTGGACCAAAATTCATGTTAGCCACCATATTTTCAGTCCATTGTTCGCCTCCCTCTTCTATTCGTTCTCCCCTCCATCTCACTTCCCTACCATGTCATCTAGCGCAGCAAGATGAATGACAAAAAAAAAAACCCTACGGAGTGCATGGCCTATCCACTCCACAACCCAGCATGGTTAGCATCGATACGGCCTAGAAGAGGAACACAAAGGAGGGAAAATTCAAGCCTAAAGCGGGATGCTAGGGTCTAATATTTCTACTCCCATTGCAGTCGAGGAAAGGTATTGTAGGTATGATATACTAGACTTTGGTTGGAACTCGGGCGGGCGCTACGACAACATATAGTACTAGGTCAAATTGTTTCGTCCAATCCGTGGTAACCGAACAACACCTCAAAAAAACCCATCCCACTGATCAACCACCCCTCAACAATGCCTTCTGAAAAGACCGGCCATCTCTCAGACTTTGAGAAAGGACAACTCTGAGAAAAAAAGAATTCTCTTTTGCTGAAATTGGAAAGCTCTTAAACGGTTCAAAGAGTACAGTTCTCAGTTTTCATAAGTGCTATCAAAAGAGGGGTGATGAGAAAAACCTTCCAACACTAGGAAGACATGAAATTATCGATAACACAATCTGCCGCTACCTAGCCAGAGAGTCCAAGAAGGTGGGTCGCCAAACCCTGTCAGAATTGCACAATGATGTTGTACTATATGTCTCTCTGAGTACTGTCAAGAGAGCTTTGGCATCAGTCAATATAAAAAAGTAGAGAGCAAGGAAGAGAGCTCTTCTGCCAGATGAGCATGCTATCAAGAGATTAGCTTAGAGTATGGAGTATAAGGATTGGACAAAGGAGGACTTTAAGGGTGTCATCTTTAGTGATGAATGCATGATTGAAAAGTCCAAAGATCCTAAGAGTATTTGGATATTCAGAATACCTGAGGAAAAGTGGTACAAGGACAGTATTCATGGGGTTACAAAAGGTCCTAGGATAAAGCTAATGGTATGGGCTTGTATTTGGGCTAAAAATAAAGGTTCTTTGATTCCCATTTTTGAGAAGAGTATGAACAGATTTGTATATATTGGAGTTTTAGAAGATCATTTAGTTGATACCTGGCAGGAGGTGGAGGACACAGTTGGGGATCCTATATTTCAGCAGGATGGTTCAAAGATATATACTGCAAAGGATACTATAGCTTGATTTGAGGAAAACAACATACAGGTTATGGAATTGTTAGGCGGAGACAACTTGATAGACTTCAAAGTTGTCTAGGCCAATCGAGATTCGTTCCTGTAGACGGAGATTGTCTAGGAAGGCTCAAACTTTGCTCATTTTGTTTATGACTACTAGAAGCGAAGTAAAATAGGTAAAGTAGGGTAGAATTGTAAAAACAATATTATATTGTTAAGGTCTCTTTTCTGTTGCTTGATGATGTCTAAAGCTTGAGAGGCTCTTCAATATTTATATTCCGTGTCTGAGTGTTCGCGGACTACATCTATTTATCATACAACTATGTACTTCTTCAATCGTACTTCGTGACGTCAAGTTTTCTTCCAAGGTGCGAACACCTGTGGACCCTGAAAACCATCACACCCTCTTCTGTAATTATGATATTTCTTCTTAGGAAGTGTGCTGTCCCCAATAGTAATATCCCGATTAGCAGAGTCTTTAGACTTATGGCCTAGTCCTTAAGTTGAACTGAGATGGCTCCAATTGTCTTTGCCATTGATAAAATGATCAGTTTTATCCACAGTTATATCTGTAAAGGTGGTCATCATTACAACCATCGTAGGTCGTCTGACTCTGATCCTTTGTAACTCCATAGCCAACCAATAGACTTTCTCTGGATGACTTCCTATTAACTCGCAGGAAGCTATTCCACCAGATTGGTAATTAATCCCATGGTGGGCAACCCTTGGTTGCTCTCTGGGTAGTAGGTTTCAGTAACCATTGTAGTATTGTGTCATGAACGTGGCTTAGCGAGGAAAGGGTTTTTCACGTGACACATGGTTATGAGTCACAGGTATGTTATTGTTTCACGCATATGACCTATTTGGGTTATATGATTAGTTATGTGTGGGATTTGTGATGCTTTCGCACATGGCTCAAGTATGAGTCATGGAACATGCGCCTGACAAGTATGCCTTACGAGTGTGCCTTACAGGCAAGCCTTGCGCATATGATTTATGTTTCGCACATGACCTCATTATGAGGTCATGGGTTTCGTGCATATGACTCAGTCGAGTCATATGACTTGTTTATTGCGTTATGATTGGTTTATGAGTTTAGTACATAACCTCGCTAGGAGGTCATGGGTTTTGAGCATGTGATCACTTTAGTCACATGACTAGTTTGTTGTGATTTAGTTTCGCACATGTGACCACTTTAGGTCACATGACTAAAGGCGGGAAGAACACTATATAAGGAGGCCGATGCGGCCGAGGAAGATAGGTTCTTCAAGCTTTGTTCTAAGTACTTTTCCTACATATTACTTTAACAAATATAAAAATACCTTTACGATCCTTATCCTTATTGCAACGTTATCATTACGCCAAGAAGCACTCGTTACGAAGACGAGTTAGAGAAAGCTTACGATAGTTGTTTTTGAGAGAAGACAAAGGTCTTGTACTATCGGTAACATAGGCAGAGGCCTAGGGCTATCATAAGACAAAGAAAGAAAGGGAAAGAAAAGATAAGTATCGTTCCCCGTCGCCAAGAACTAACTATCTGAAGGGGGATCATTACATTACAAAGCGTCACCTAAGTGTGACGCCAAACGATACAAGACGGCATCCTTCAACCCAGATCGGGAAGGAGATATTGACATCGACGATCAAAATCTTAATCTAGGAGGATTCAGCGATGCCCTAGATCACGTCTCAGCAGAACCCTCGAGAGCAGCAAGCCCAGTAACTCCAGAGAAAGGATCACCAGTCGATAGCTCTCCTGCTGGAACGCCACGACCCGAGAGAATGTCGGGATCCGCAGTACCTGGGCCACCGGCCCCAACTGCTCCGGCACCAGGAACCAGCATACTTGGAATGACTGAAAATCAGTTTCAGGCATTTCTTGCAGCCACGCGAAATACAGGGCAAGGAAATGTCCAACGACCAAAAGCAAAGGAGCCCGACACATACGAAGAAGCCGAAGATAAGCTACGAATATTCTTAGCGCAATGCGAGGGATATTTTGCAGTTAAGGGATACGGAGATCACCATGATGAAATCAAGATTCCTTATATGGAATCTCTACTCAGAGGACTCGCGGGACAATGGATCATGCCCTTTCAAGATGGAAGGAAACAGAGGGAATGGGTCACGTATGAAGAGTTCAAGGCGACACTCTTTGAACAATTTGGAGACCCCAACGCCAAAGAAACAGCAAGACGAAAGCTAGAAAAACTCCAGCAAGGAAAACAAACATTCTCAGCATACTGGAACGAATGTCGACTGTTGGAATACGAGGCCGAGTTTGATGACGCGACTCTCTACATCATCCTCCTGAGAAACCGCAGTAAGAGACTCCGAGAGGCATGGGGAATCTCTGACCTACGCTATATGACAGCCGAACGATTTGCAAGATGGGTAATCGACAAAGAAAGCAAATTAAACATGGTTCGGAGCAACTCGGAAAATACTATAGCACATAGGGTGGTCCAATCATCCAGGAATGTGGATGGGACCTTCAAACTGCAAGTACCTCGAGGAGAAAGTTGAGCGTTACCACCAGGCGAACTAATGAAATTGGACAAATCAAGAGCAGGGCCTGCTCTGAACCTGTCTAAAGAAGAATACGCCAGAAGGATGAATGGGAAACTATGCCTAAGGTGTGGAAAAGCAGGGCATCGGATACAAGAATGCAGAAGCCGATTGGACAACGGATACCAGGGAAACAGAGCTACTGGAAATAATCGTTTCCAAAATCAGAAAAGAAGAAACATCCGCGAAATGATAGCAGAGGATTCACCGGCGGAAAACGAAGAGGGTCCCCAGTAAACGGTGGTCTGGGAGACCCAAGATGTGGACCTGGAAAACCCATCAAATTAGCGAACTACTACACGGCACTATACACGCAAAGAGGAGAAGGAGATGGGGATCATGTGATGATTAAAACGAAGATATACAACAGAGAAAGAGAAGAAACAACAATATATGCAATGCTCGACTCGGGGGCCACTGAAGACTTCATTGACAAAGAAATATGCAACAAATACGGCCTCCACACCAAACAAGTGAAGAAAGCAAGACAAGTCTACCTAGTGGATGGAATGCTAAGCGCTATGGGTCCTATAACCCATACGGTGACAGTACCTATGGACATTGACAGCCATAGGGAAATGGCAACCTTTCAAGTGGCAGATCTAAAGAACCATGAGATAGTCCTAGGGATGCCATGGTTATGGAAGCATAATCCAACAATCGATTGGAACGAGAACAAGATGACGTTTACAGGTGAACTATGTGCGACACAATGTCTCAACAGTTCACCTGTAGTCTACTCCAAACCAATACGAGAAGCGGAAGAAGAAACTTTGCATGCAAAGTTTGCCGAGATGCGGCAAGACAAAAGGGTCCGGATACAAAGACTGGACCAAGAGGCAAAAGTGCCTACCAAGGGTTCCAAAGGGGCAGCAGGACACGACCGATATGCCAACAAAGCAATCAAGATACCTGCCAACGGGCAGGCAACGATAGCAAC